AAGTCTCAGTTTCCCAAGCTGCACAAAGAATGGAATAACCACCCCAGTGGGCAGCTAAGAGGGGCCTGGGGAGTCATTTTGTGAACTCACCACGGTGTCACACACATGGGGCTAGTTGTGACTATGGCAGTGTTGTCTGATCACTCACTGAACTGGCTTGGGAAGTAAGCAGACTGGTTTGAGTCCCGGCTCTGCAGTGACCTTTTGTGTGACCTTGAGCAAGTCACTTCTTTCTCTCTGAACCTCAGTTGCCTCAAAGGGAGAATGGGCCTGTTACAAGGGCCTGCTCCATGTAGGAAGTTATTACAAAAACCAAAGGATTAAGGCATGGAAAGTTTCAGCACAGAGCCCCACATGGCACATGCCCACATCAGCGACACTTGGAGGAATATAGGTGATCTTTGCTTCTCTAGACTAAAGAAAATAAGAGTACAGATGGGGTCCTGACGTACCCTGATATGAATGTGGCAACTAAATGCTGACCTTTGGAAAACTCAACTCTGATTAATGCCACTGGATTACATAGTTTAAAATGGACGGTCGGCCAGGCGTGGTGGCTCACGCCTGTAATACACTTTGGGAGGCTAAGGTGGGTGGATCATTGAGGTCAGGAGTTCGAGACCAGCCAGGCCAACATGGTGAAACCCCGTCCCTACAAAAAATAAAAAAATTAGCCAGAAATCGCCTGAACCTGGGAGGCAGAGGTTGCAGTTAGCCGAGATTGTACCATTGCACTCCAGCCTGGGCAACAGAGTGAGACTCTGTCTCAAAATAATAAAATAGACAGCCAGGCACACTGGCTCACACTTATAATCTCAGCACTTTAGGAGGCTGAGGTGGGTGAATCACTTGAGCTCACAAGTTCAAGACCAGCCTGGGCAACGTGGTGAAACTCCATCTCTACAAAAAAATTAAAAAATTAGTTGGGCATGGTGGTGTGTGCCTGTAGTCCCAGCTACTCAGGAGGCTGAGGCAGGAGGATGGCATGTGCCTGTAGTCCCAGCTACTTGGGAGGCTGAGGCAGGAGGATGGCGTGAGCCTGGGAGGCGGAGGTTGCTGTGAGCAGAGATGTCGCCACAGCACTCCAGCCTGGGTGACAGAACGAGACCTTGTCTCAAAAAATAAATAAAATAATTGGGCTCAGTCCCCGCGGAAAGAAACCCCCTTCAGGTTCTACTCAATGGTCAGCCCCTCAGAGAGGGCTCCCAGTCACATCATCTCCCTACCCGCCTCCCTCTCTTTATTTACCTTCAGTGCATCTAGCCCCCCGGGATTATATTACATGCATACAGGTATCAAACTGCTTCCCAGTGAGAGTGTCAGATCAATAGGGACAGAGACCGAACCTGTTTTGTCCACCACTGTGTCACTACTGAGGACGTGACTCATACGGAGAGCTCAGTGCACAACTGTCTCCGGAATGCAGGGTTTTGGCCCACGTGCTCATTGTCCCCAGTGGGCCTGATCTCTCCACAGGCTGCAGTTTTGCCTATGGCCACCAGATGGCGAGCATGCTGGACTGCATGAAAAGGTCTGAGCCAGTTCCTGTCTCAGTCATTGCCAAAGGAAACCAGTAAGGACCTGGCAGCTTCTGCCAGCTTCTGCCAGGTTCACCAGGCCCCATTGTGTCTCCCTCTTCTTCTCCTCATTCTGAAAACACTCAACCCAGAGTGGAACCTTCAAGCCCTTCCCCTCCTACCTGGCCTCTCACTGACCCGCTGGTGTGGCCTGAGAAGTAAGCAGATTAGAGAGTGTTCTAATGAGGTGGAGTGGATTCTGTTATTTGCAACTAAAAACCTGACTCCTCCAAATTCATGTAACCCTTGAGTCTGTTTTCCAAGCTGCACAAAGAGTGGAATAACCACCCCAGTGGGCAGCTAAGAGGAGCCTGGGGAGTCATTTTGTAATGGTGCTCACTGCAGGGCCATTTGCTGTGACCAGAGTTTGGGGACAATCTGAATGTCCACCAGCTGGGGGCTGGCCACATGCACTATCCCCTGTTCACATAGCAGACATCACACCCTCTAAAAATGGATGGAGGTGCTGTTGAACTGCACCGATATGGATCAATACTCAAGGCTTCAGATTAAGATTAAAAAAAAAAAAAAAAAAAAACAGGGCAAGGGGACAGAGCAGAAGAGGGTGTATAAAATGCTACCATTTATGTAGAAAAAGGGGGCCGGGAGCAGTGGTTCATTCCTGTAATCCCAGCACTTTAGGAGGCCAAGGCGGGCAGATCACCTGAGGTCAGGAGTTACAGACCAGCCTGGCCAACATGGTGAAACCCTGTCTCTACTAAAAATACAAAACTCAGCTGGGCATGGTGGCAGGTGCCTTTAATCCCAGCTACTCGGTAGGCTGAAACACAAAAATCGCTTGAATCCAGGAGGTGGAGGCTGCAGTGAGCTGATATTGCACTACTGCACTCCAGCTTGGGCGACAGAACGAGACTCTGTCTCAAAAAGAAAAAGAAAAAAGAAAGTAGTAGAGAAAAATGTCTCTGCATTTGTTTGTAAATGCAGACTGTCCCTGAGGACTCTGTGGGAATGGGGATTGGAGGGGACCAGGTGGCAGGGAGGGAGAGGCTTTATACTCTGGGCCCTTTCGTATCTTCAGATTTGAGTCATGTGGCTGTTTTATCTATCTGGTCAGATGAATGGCAAAACTAAAAGCAACCATTTCTCTATCCTCGAGTAAGCAAGCCACTTCTTCCCTGGATGTCTTTGCTTCTAAGGGAGGTTGCCACAGAGGCTGGATGGGAGGTGCAGTGGGACACCTCAAGGTGGCCTCTGCATTTGAGCTGCGCTGCTTACTGCTCCTACTTAGGAGCCGCATAACCTTCATTGTGTCCAAGCCCTGGGGACACAGCAGGAAACAGAGACAGCCCCTCCCTCACCCAGCTCACATTCAATTGGGACACACAGGAGAAGGTATAAATCCCCACACTCCTTGCTCAGGGATATGAAGAAAACATGGAGGGCATGAGGGGCCAGTGGGCGGGTGGCTATTTCAGAGGTGACATCTGAAGAATCAGGTGCCAGCCACAGAAGAGGGTGTCAGGTCGAAGTAGCAGAGAGTGCAGTCGAGACAAGAAAGGTAGGAGCTGAAAGAAGACAATGGATGACCCCTCGTAGCCACGGCCCCTCCTCTCTCTGGTCTTCAGGATGAAATGAGACAACAGAGGGAAGGTGCACACACATGCCCAGGAACAGGAAGCTAACATTCTTCTCACTTAAAAAAATGACTTGGAGGCTGCATGCAGTGGCTTATGCCTGTAATCCCAGAACTTTGGGAGGCTGAGGCAGGCAGATCACCTGAGGTCAGGAGTTTGAGACCAGCCTGACCAACATGGAGAAACCTTATCTCTACTAAAAATACAAAATTAGCCGAGCATGGTGGTGGACACCTGTAATCCCAGCTACTCAGGAGGCTGAAGCAGGAGAATCGCTTGAACCCGGCAGGCGGAGGTTGCAGTGAGCCAAGATCGCGCCACTCCAGCCTGGGCAACAAGAGCAAAACACCATCTCAAAAAAAAAAAAAAAAAAAAAAGACTTGAGAGGCCAAGGTGGGTGGATCACCTGAGACCAGGAGTTCAAGACCAGCCTGGCCAACATGGCGAAAACCCCATCTCTACTAAAAATACAAAAATTAGCCGGCATGGGTAGTGGGCACCTGTAATCCCAGTTACTCGGGAGGCTGAGGCAGGAGAATCGCTTGAACTCGGGAGGCGGAGGTTGCAGTGAGCTATCGCGCCACTGCACTCCAGCCTGGGCAATGGAGACCCTCCCTCCAAAAAAAAAAAAACAAACGTCCAGGTGCCATGGCTTACCCCTGTAATCCCAGCACTTTGGTAGTCTGAGGCAGGCAGATCACTTCAAGTCAGGAGTTCAAGACCAGCCTGGGAAATATGTGAAACCCTCATCTCTACTAAAAACACAAAAAAATGAGCCGGGCATGGTGGTGCGCGTCTGAATCCCCGGCTACTTGGGAGGCCGAGGCACCAGAATCGCTTGAACCCGCGAGGCGGAGGTTGCAGTGAGCCGAGATCGCACCACTGCACTCCAGCCTGGGTGACACAGCAAGACTCCGTCTCAAAAAACAAAAAATAAAAATAAATTTGTAGACGGTCTTGTCTTCCTGTGAAGAATGAGAGGCCCACCCTGACAGGGTTCCTAGGCCCTGCTCACCATCTGTCCCCAGTAACTCAAATTGTGCATGGCTCATGACAGGTCTCCTATACTACTTGAGTAACTGAGCGATCGTTGTCCCCATTAGGATGCAAGTTTGATGAAGGCAGGGACCCGACTCCTTGACAGAACCATGGGATCCTCAGTGCCTGGGCAGTGCCTGACGCCATGCGTGTTTGCTGATTGGCACGAATGCATTTATACCCATGAGGGTCAACCTCCCCTGCCGGCCATGTCACATCTTGGCCCTGGGCACAGGAAGGGGTTTGTGGAGATCTTTCCTGGGGAGCTACTGGATTCCAGAGAAGGAACACTGCTGCCCAGGAAACCAAACCTCAGCCTTTCAAGCCGGCTTCATTCTACTCATACCCTGTGCACCTCTAGCCAGGCTCACAGCCATGGACCAGGGCACTTGCGAGGGGCCGGGATCCTTGCTACCCACAGGAGGCCTGTTAGCTCGGCCTCCCTACTGGCCCCAGAAAGACAACTCCCTCCTCTCCCAACTGTCTGACGAGGACTGGCATGGGAAGCACCCACTAGGGACCATTCTCTCCAGTGTGCCCACCACTTGGCTGTGGGGGGTGTTCGTGACCTCTCACGGCCCCTTCTGGGTTTGGTCGTGCAAACCTGACACAGCCATCCCGACCAAATGGAAAACTGCAAATTCGAGGACGACCACGGCATTTTTCCAAAACAGTTTAATTAAAAAAAGGTAAAGAAATCTGAAAAAATCGGGGGGTGGGGGAAGGAATGGGAAAACCCAAAAAGCATACCGTGTGAGTCTACTGGCTCAGTGACAAAGAAACACCACCATCAAAAAGATATTTAAGTTTAATACAAATTTTATACAAAGAAAATGTGAAAAAATACTTCCATATGCTAAAAGCAATTATGCTTCACAAATAAGGCCAGCTAGGCTATTTTTTTGTTTTTTTTGACAACTGCAATTCACAAATGTTCTTTCTCTCCTGTTTTCCTCTAATACTCTCTTCTTATTTCTTCTCTAATATGGGTAACTAGCTGGAAACTGTACAGTTCGCATTCTCTTATCAACAATGAAGAGAAAGTAAACAAGACTAAAATGTACAACAAAACGTACTGGAATGATATCGTACAATTAATTTTCTCATATACATACATCACCTTTTGCTTTTTGATCAATGCTTTTTGTTTTACACAACATACAAAATGGCTCTACAGCATACGTAGTGTACGGACAGCATGATGGGGCCTTGCTTTCTCTCATACTGCCTGTGTTTCATGCTTACATAAAAACGTGAAATTCCATCATATAAATAATACATACATGCTTCATCCCAGACTCAAACATCCTCTGCGTGCACCTTGCCTTTGAGTCCTTGCTTCCAAGAAGTGCAGCATCTCTGACCAAGTGTGTGTGAGTGTGTTTAAAGGAACCACAAAGCAAAGATTTCTTTTTTTCAGAGTTCATGATCCTAACACTTTCTATGTTCTCCTCTTCTGTGACTGAGCTGAGTGGGGCTTGTTTCGGTTTCTCTTCTGTAAACAAGGACATGGTTTTTTCCCTTTTAGGAGTAGAGTCATCATCTCAATCACGTGAAAGAAACTAGCTTCTCCCTGTGTCCGTCTGGTCCGGAGAGCTTGCGTTTTAGGAACGTCGTAACGTAGTAGCTGAAAGGAGCCAACGGCTTGACAGGATAGAGTCTGTGCCGAAACTCCCGATCCCAACATGCTGTGTAGACACATGAGTGAAAAACGGCTCGCCCTCCACTGGGTATCCAAGGATGAGGACGTGAGTGTGAAAGTGGTCCCCGGGCCCAGTATCCATTCCATTGTGTGACTGACAGGCTAACTGACCATCCCTTCTCCAATACCAAAACATTCTTTTTGTTGTTGGGGTTGGTTGGTTGGTTTTTTTTAATTGTTTTTCTTTTTCTTTTTTTTTTTTTATAAGTTAAAGTTAATACAAATATAAAAAGGGGAAGGTCCTCTAGGTTTCAATGACATCCACAAATTATACATTATTTACACCTAAAGCACAGGGCTCGTATGGGTGAACAGTTCGCAATCAAAGCCGATGCCGGGTGTCCTGTAGTGTAGCAGCCCCTGCGCCGGGGGCTCAGGCTCAACTGAGGGTTTTGTCATTCTCAAGTCTGAAAGTGGCTGTTCTCCTCCCTTTGTTGTTTCTTCTTTTCCGGGCGTCTGGGTTTTTCTCCAGTGGGGTGGATGGTGGTTTGTGTCCCGACTCGCTGCTAGTCCCAGAAGGTGTCCAGCCGAGACTCTTTCGGGAGGAGGCTCTTCGTGCTGGTACTGGTGTTGTGCTCGGAACGTGTCGATCCCCTCTTCTCATCGCTGCTGCTCCAACTGGATTTACTACTCCGGGAATGGTCTGAGGAGGAAAACCAGTGTGTTTAGCATGCCTGCCCACCTGTGCCTGAGCATAACTATCTGCAGTCTGACCTGCCCTTCCTGCACAGGAAACCACCTTCCCCTCCCCACTGATGGTTCAAACACTGCCACCACTGACTGTCCTACATCTGTGGGTCTGGAGAACAGAAAGGCAGCACAACTTATTTTTTAGGATTTAACAACAGCCAGTTGAAAAAAACAGTAGGGTGTCATGCTCACAGAGAATAAAGATTTGTGAACTGCCAAGGAAGGCATTTCTTGTGCCGTGTCTGGAACCGTGTACCCTTACTACATCACTGAACGACACAAGCACCCCATGCACTTCTGGGTCCAACCTTGGCTCCTGGAGAAAGACACCGAAATTTGGCATGCAGTCTACTTCCATCAGTGGGCTTTCTTTTATCCATGTATAGGCTACTTAAAAATGGACTTACAACCAAATCACACTTGTCCACCCAAGGGAGAGGATCATAAAGGAGAAGAATGGGTAAGTCCACCTGGGAACACAGACCCACTGACTCCCGGTAAGGACAAGCTTATGGGTGACTAAAGGATTCAGAACCAGAGTAAGACCTAGGATGGCTTCAAGGACACATGGACAAGGAGCTGAGTAGTGACTGAGTAAGAAATAAATGAAGAAGCTGAAGGAAGAGCCGAATGAGGTGTCTGTGAAGAGCACTTTAGCCAACAGCTAAAGTGTTGCAGGCTCTGCTGGACGGCTGACTGGGAGAAACTTCCGGCCAAGCCCTAAGATCCCATCACATCCTGGATCATTTACTAAGTTCAGACAGACTGGGACAGAATTATTTTTCAATTTCTTAATGTGGGTGATGATGTTTGGTTGAAAGAGGTTGAGGGAAAGAGTGGAGTGGGCCAAGAAGGGGACCACGCTACTACCTAGGGGGGCTGCATTTCTTGCTGCCTGGTAAAAAGGCATGTGTGGGTAATCATGAGTTCTGGAAGATAAGCAGTGAAGAGAATGACAAAGATCTCCAAAGTCATGTAGTTACTCAGGAGAGAACTCTTCTTAGTCACTTGCATCAGTGACCAAAAGGGAGCAATACTATGGCAGGCAGAGCTGGGGGCAAAGGCAGAGTCTTCTTAACAATCCTCAACCTGCCTTCTTACGCCTTCCTCCCTTAGCTGCCAAGCCTATGCTTTTAGTTCTTCGGAAGGACTCTGGGGAGTGATCCAGCTGGTCATCCCCATCCGTGAGAATATCCTACAGTGATGTGGTCAAACCACATCAAGTCCTTCCAGCTCTGGTGAGGGCAGAGACCACCGGCGGGTACTAGAACAAATGGGACCAGGGCCAAGCTGAGTTCAGTATCTCTCTCCTAGAACCAGGCTGGCCAATGGAGGGATCTGCAGGCCCTCACTCCTCATATGGAGAGGACACGGGACACTGGCTGCCACAGCCAATCACCACAGGAGGGAATCAGTGTTCATCTAGGACCCTTTAAGAACAGAGCGAGGACGATCTCCATCAAGAAGCCAGGCCACATGCTCGCTCTCATTTCCTAATGCAGTTTGTGATGGCGACCAGAGGCACAGCAAAGAAGAAACATTGCAAAGGAAGACCCACCACTCAAAAGAACAGGAGAAGACACACCCACAAAGAAAAAACACACACGGACACACACAGAACGAGCCTTCTGCATGCCAGGAAGAAGCCCCGGCAGCTTCCGTGAGACAGGGTCATACTTACACTTCTGGGCGGGGTAGTTGGGGTGCGGCTGGTGGTCTGTGGTGGTTGGGGCATAGGCAGGTTGCTTGTCACACCTTTTGCTAACTGAAGAGATAGCACAGGTAGCCTCAGAGTCTGTCAGAGAGCTGGAATTCCGCACAACCCCGAGTGCTTACTATTTTTGTTCATCAACAGGCTACTGTTATTAGAACCAGTTGGCACCTTCATTCATGTCACCATTGTCCAACTTTAATGCAAGCACAGGAGACTAAGGCTCTTTAAAAATGCATATCAAACCACAAACAGGATCACTGGACACAGCACAGCATTACAGGTAGGAAATAAGGTATACAATGACATAAAAGCAACTCAGCATTTTGTAAGCCACAAATTCTCAGAACCACTAGCTCTGCCAATAGCCTAATTCAACCATGGGAAATGGAGGTGGGCACTAGAAACATGCTAAGGTTGAAGGCACCATCCCAGAAATCTAGACAACTTAAGGCAAGTAATAACATCAACTGCCCACAGTGATAACAGAATAGGGAGGAGAGGATGGAGAAGGCATACATTATGAGGAGGACTGAGGAAGGGGCTCCAGATGAGGTGGCAAGTAAGCTAAATTCTCAGCTATGATGGTAGCACACCAACAAATCACCTCTGAAATCAAAGAGTCAAAAAACAGTGATATGAAAGGAGTCTCCATAAATAACTGATATGGTGAGAAGTTTCATAGGAAAACAATTGAAAGTAAGATCAAGAGAAAAAACAGAAACTCTAGGAAAAAGTAAGGCTGTAAAAGAATGGAAATATAATCGCAGTATACTATGTGACTCTGCCATGAATGATATGGTCATAATCATGTAAGTAAGAATTGTCACACTGCAACTTTCTAGACTAAGCCAACAGACAAGAGTGAGGCTTAACTGCAGTTATAGAACAGAATGCACATGTTCTCAACCTTGACAACGGGAAAGTCACAGGGCAGGTGAGAAGTCTGGCTACGACAGGGGTAGGAGAGGTGAGGAGAAGATGGGCTGCCAAAAGAGGGGTCAAGAGATATCTGTAGCAGACGAAACAAAAGAGCTAAGGAGGCAGGTGTTTCATTGGAGCAAGGTAGCACATAAAATAGTAACCTCAGTAGTGTGGGAAGAGGAAGAGTAACTCTCACCTTTTAAAACTGGAAGTCAACAAGTAATATCTAAAGATAAAGTCAAGAAATAGAGGTATAGGCAAGTATATTATTTGTTAGTAAGGAGGTAACAGGAGGACCAGAATGAGCAGTGCAAACTGGAACTAGGAAGAGTTTTTCCCTGCACTATTTTATTCTCTGCAACTCTGTGCATATATGTCTTTAACTAAAAGCTTAAAATGAAAAGACGAACAGGAGAGGCCCGTGCCCACATACTAAGGGAGCTCATACCCCTACTAAAATTCTCTCCCTTCCAACTAAACTTAGATGTACTGTCCTAGTACCTGATGCACATAAATAGCACAGGAGCCTTGATGTTTTTAAAACCCATGCTCCCTCTAGATATGTCACGTGCGCTGTCACCAGAAAGCAAGTGCTGGCAGAAGTATAGTGAGACGGATGAAGAATTAATTAGAAGGGGATCAAAATTGAGGACGTCTTTCTGCTTTGACGTGACCTGTCAACACAAACTGCTTTGGTGAGAAAATCGGGAAGAATGAGAAGACCGAAGGCTGCATTCCCACACAGACCCCTGTGGCCTCCCTGCAGCTTCTCACTCACGCTCTCAGAATCACTGTGGCACTGACTGCAAAACGCACTTTTCCTGCCAGTTTCTGACCATGGGCTCCACAGTGCTCTCACTGTGCCCAGCCTCTTTCCAAGTCCTAAATGTGGGACTAAATCTCTTGTTTTTGAGACACAGTCTCACTCTGTCGCCCAGAGTGGAATGCAGTGGCGTGATCTCAACTCACTATAACCACTGCCTCCTGGGTTCAAGCAATTCTCCTGCTTCAGCCTCCTGAGTAGCTGGGATTACAGGGGTGCATCACCACGCCTAGCTTATTTTTTATACTTTTAGTACAGACAGGGTTTCACCATGTTGGTGAGGCTGGTCTTCAACTCCTGACCTCAAATGATCTGCCCACCTTGGCCTCTCAAAGTGCTGGGATTATAGGCATGAGCCACCACACCTGACCTAAATGTGGGGCTAAATCTCTTTTAGTGTATCCCTGGATGTACCTCAATCTTTATCCAAACCCTGGAGAGGAGGCTCTTTCTGACATGAAGATACCATGATTCTAGCCAATCTGGTCATCTTTTAAGAAGAAAGTCTCTGCCGCTGACCACGGTGGCACATGCCTTTGATCCCAGCTACTCAAGAGGCTGCGGTGGGAGAATCGTTTGACCTCAGGCCAAGTTCAAGGCCAGCCTTGGCAACAAGGCAAGATCCTGTCCCTTAGGTTTCAAAGCAACATTTAGAATTAAAAATGTCAGCTGGGCGTGGTGGCTCACGCCTGTAATCCAAGCACTCTGGGAGGCCGAGGTGGGTGGATTCCCTGAGCTCAGGAGTTTGAGACCACCTTGGGCAACACAGTGAAACTCCATCTCTACTAAAATACAAAAACTTAGCCAGGCGAGGCGGTGTCCACCTGTAATCCCAGCAACTCGAGAGGCTGAGGCAGGGGAATCGCTTGAACCTGGGAGGCGGAGGTTGCAGTGAGCCAAGGCTGCACCACTGCACTCCAGCCTGGGTAACAGTGCAAGACTCCGTCTCAAAAAGTAATAATAATAATAATAATTTAAAATGTCCATGACTGTTAATGGCTTAGGGGGATGGTGGAGTATCAGAATAGAAACTGTATCATATCAGCGGCAGAGTGTGTAAAGAAAGGGAAATGGAGACAAAATGAAATGCCTTTTTTTTTAATATGAGGTCTCATTCTGTTGCCCAGCTGGAGTGCAGTGGCTATTCATAGGCACTCACTGCAGCCTCAAAACTCCTAGGCTCAAGTGACCCTCTGCCTCAGCCTCTCCAAGCAGCTGGGACTACAGGTGCACCCTCGCTCTAGAATAACAACCCTAGAAGAGACATCTAACTGGGTTGAGGAAGGAGACAGGACAGGTCTTACACTGTGCCATTCAATATGGTAACCACTACAATAAGATAGAACGTTGAATTCCATTCCTCAGTCACACTAGCCACAGTTCAAGGCTTCAGCAGCGACACGTGGCTAGTGGCTACCATAGTGGACAGTGCAAATATGGCCATTGTCACAGAACATTCTATTGGAGATGCAAGGTGTCAAGGAAGGCACTTGGAGACAGATGAGAATATTTAAGTGCCTAGGAAGAAAAGCAGTACAGAGTGAGAAGTTTGGCTATAACGAAGGATGCAGATGCCTTTGAATGGCAGGAGAGAAGGACACAGCACACCTCGCAGAGGGCAGAGGAGCAGCCCTGAGCACCCAGGGATGGTGATGCAGGCAGAGATGCAGGGAGGTCCAAAACAGAGCAGAGAACTTGAGAAATGGCCATTATGGATGATGGAAAATCCCGATGAAAAAAAAAACCAAAACTTGGATTACAACACAGGCCTCTGGCCAGGCTCGGTGGCTCACGCCTGTAATCCCAGCACTTTGGGAAGCCAAGGTGGGTGAATCACTTGAGGTCAGGAGTTCAAGACCAGCCTGGCCAACACAGTGAAACCTTGTCTCTATTAAAAATACAAACAATTAGTTGGGCATGGTGATGCACACCTGTAATCCCCGCTACTCAGGAGGCTGAGGCAGGAGATCGCTGGAATTGAGGAGGCAGAGGTTGAGGTGAGCCGAGATCATGCCACTCCACTCCAGCCTGGGCAACAGAGCGAAGTCTCCGTCTCCAAAAAAAAAAAAAAGGAACACAGGGCCAGGCGCAATGGCTCAAGCTTGTAATCCCAGCACTTTGGGAAGCCAAGGCACGTGGACCACCTGAGGTCAGGAGTTCAAGACCAGACTGGCCAACATGGTGAAACCCCCTCTCTACTAAAAATACAAAATTAGCCGGGCACAGTGGTGCACACCTATAATCCCAGCTACTCAGGAGGCTGAGGCAGGAGAATCATTTGAACCCAGGAGGTGGAGGCTGCAGTGAGCCGAGATCATGCCACTGCACTCCAGCCTAGGCAACAGAGCGAAGACTCTGTCTCAAAAAAATAAAATAAAAAAAGAATACAGGTCTCTTAGGACAAAAAGTATTGATAAAAGAAAAACAGATATTGGAAAGATGACCAGGCAGAAGAGAATCTTTGCTTCTGAGGTCAGTGACCCAGATTTGCATGTGTGATGAGATGAGTTTGTGTTCTTGTATAACATTGTGCAGTTAAGCACTGAGGCTCAGGTGCAGGTAAATCAAAAGTGGAAAGCTGGGGTTCTTCCAAGGTGGGGTTTTGGCAGATGGACATGTTAGGAAAACATTCCAGGCCTGGGAGACTGGGTTGTATTAGCAAGGGTACTGCATGGCAATTAAGCTGGGTAGGAGCTGGGTAAGGAGGTGGGAAGGAGGGAGGTATAGAAACAAGAGAGTTAGTAGATTTGGATGAGGAAAAAAAGGCCACATCTGCACCCTGACGTTTCCCAGAGATCAGTGCCTTATTAGTAGAGCCAGACACAAGTGCCATTACTCAGCCATTTTTGAGTTACAAAAGCAATTTTATAGGGGTCCACCTAAGTATACCTGACATATGGTTGCAAGCACGAGTCTGGATTGCAAAGCTCAGTTAGTTGCATATGGTTGCAAAGCTCAGTCCTTGTTAAAAAGAGAATCAAGAAATATGAGAGATGCTAAAGACATCTCAGCATCAAACTGAGCCTGTTAGAAGGGGAAGCGAAGAGGGAATTGCTTTTTCAATAGGTGGTTCTGTCATATTTAAAGCCAAGTTCATACCTCCCTAAAGTCAGCTCATGTTACTCCCTCTGGCTGTGCCCCCAAATCCCACTCACCTTTCAAAGCATGAGTCTGGCGAGATGTGAACTTAAGTCTTGGCTCTCACAATTACTCATTGAGTTACTTGGGCATCTGAGTTAACACGTCTGGACCTCAACTTGCTCATCTGTATAATGGAAATACTAACTATGTTCTCACGGACATTGGGAAGAAACATGATACGGTGTGTAAGTGCTTCATGCTGTTCAGTAGCACCAATAGCTGCTCTTCTGACTTCCTCTGAAACTCCACGGAGACAGGGATTTATCTGCCTTATTCAGAAAAACTGCCCCTTCCTACCCCCTGCTGGCCCCCCTTTTCCTCCCACCATTTACTGGGGCTTCTTGCCTCCTCTCCTTTCCACTCCCTGGGATAGTGTGCCTCAGGTCAGGAGTCAGCAAACTATGGCCAGCTCAATGCCTGTTTTTGCAATTCAGGTTTCATTGGCACAGGGCATACATTTGTTTACATATTATCTATGTCTACTTTCACACTACAATGGCAGGGTGAGCAGCTAGGACACGGACCATGTGGCCTGCAAAGCCTAAAATACTTACTAAATGGCCCTCTACAGAAAAAATTTCTTGACCCTGGTCTAGGTAATACTCCTCCAGCCTGGAATGGAATACGATGCCTCTCCCAACTACCTTCCTGTATGCCACCCTCCTGACGCCCATGGACTCCTGCCAGATTCATCCCACCACGGCATCATTCATCTTCTCGGATGCCATATCGATCAAGCCACTTTGAGGCTCCAAAACCTTAACAGCGCCCCTCTGTCTGAAACAGTGTTTCCCTAACTTGGAGCTTCCTCACACCACCTGTGCCATTCCGACACATCCATAGTCCTCTTACATATTACTTAGTTCATGTTTTTATTTTAAACTTCTATAACTTAGGTCAATAAATAAACTTTTATTGTTAGCCAACAAAAAACACAAAACCAATAAAATCTGCTGTCAAAGGCAACTCCAAAAATGAATGTAATGAAAACCTTAAATTAAAAGTTCTAGGGTGGGGAGCATGCTGCTAAAATCTAGAGTCTGCTCAGTCTTTGTTAAAAAGAGAATCAGGAAATATGAGAGATGCTAAAGACATCTTAGCACTAAACTGAGCCTGTTACAAGGGAAAGTGAAGAGGGAGTTGCTTTTTCAATAGGTGATTCAGTCATATTTAATGCCAAGTTCATATCCTCCCTCCTAAAGCAAGCTCATATTACTCCCTGACTGTGCCCCCAAATCCCACCCAACTTTCAAGGCCTAGCCCCTTCAGGAAAGCGTTCCCAACCCCCTAACAATGGACATCACTTCTTCCTCCATGCACTCAATATGCAGAAGTGAAATGAAATGTTTGCTTTTCAGCTCAAGAGAATCATCAGTGGCTCATGCCAGTAATCCCAGCACTTCCCGAGGCTGAGACGGGAGGATCACTTGAGGTCAACAGATCAAGACCAACCTGGCCAACATGGCAAAACACCATCTATACAGTTGTTTTTTTTTTTTTTGAGACAGAGTCTTACTCTGTCTCCCAGGTTAGAGTGCAGTGGCACGATCTCGGCTCACTGCAACCTCCACCTCCCGGGTTCTCCTGCTTCAGTCTCCCAAGTAGCTGGGATTACAGGCGCACGTCACCACGCCCGCCTAATTTTTGTATTTTTAATAGAGACAGGGTTTCACCATGTTGGTCAGGCTGGTCTCGAACTCTTGACCTTGTGATCTGCCCACCTCAGCCTCCCAAAGTGCTGGGATTACAGGTGTGAGCCACTGCGCCCAGCCTACAAAAAATTATTTTAAAAATTAGCCAGACGTGGAAGTGTGTGCCTATAGCCCCAGCTACATGGGAGGCTGAGGCAGGAGAATCACCTGAGTATGGGAGGCGGAGGTTGCACTGAGCTGAGATCATGCTACTTGCACTCCAGCCTGGGCGACACAGCGAGACTCTGTCTCAAAACATCAATCAATCAATCAATCAATCAATCAATCAGCAAGCAGAAAGGTACTGGAGCTGTGGTGCCACGCAAAAACCTTAAATGAAATAAAACTGTCTTCCACCAGGAAGGCACCTTCTCTGAACCCTTCTGGAATGACCCAAAACTGCTTTAAGAAAGTGCAAGAAAAAGATTCTTTGGGCTAGGGAAGGAAGACAGCTCAAACTCCACAGAAGAAAAACCCTAGATGTCAAGTCTCAGAAAATTTCCCCAAATCTGCCTGTCAGGTTATTTTCCAAAAGGAAAGGATTTTACAGAAAGATCATCCACCTGAGTACTACCTTCAATTCTCAAAGGTTTGAGCGCCTTCATCCACCATATGCAAGTGTTAGAACCTCAGAAAAAAATCTTACACAGTGTCATTTACCACGCTCATTTCCCTGAGAGAAAAAACAACTCCCCAATTCAAATGCACTTCTTCTACCCTACCCCAGGTCAGCAACAGAGGCCTCTGTCCAAGTGGAGTTTTATGTGGATCCCCAGTAAATACAACAGGTAATACCAATCAGTTTGAAGAGGTACCTGAAAGTTAACATGCTCAGCTACCCACTCACCCCCACTGACCCACCCCAGGCACCTCTAAGGATCCATGATCGTTTGGAAACCATTGGAATAAACTCTTCAAATTCTCCCTGACAAAATGGCTCCCCATCTGCCCATCTGAAATGTGAAAGCACCGTTCGCCCACCAGGGGGCAACATACCAGAGCCTTGGTTGGAGCCTAAGAGAATGGAGGAGGGCGTCTCTCTGGAGCCAGAAAGGTCAAGGGTCTAGAAATACAAAAAGAAAAAGATGGACTCAAGGCACTGAGGCTAATGTCGCCCCCACCGGGAAATCCAGGGAGTCATGGGGGTGCTCATCGCTGCCCCCAAAGCATCTCAGTGCCCTCTGCCTGGCACGGTCAGGTGGGAGTGATGGGCACAGGGCGGCCAGGTGGCCAAACCCCGGGTGCCATTTCCCACACTGAACAGGCTGGAACACAGCACCAGGGTGGCCCCTCATTCTACCCTAGAACATCCACTGTTTCCTAAACTCCACTCACTAACAGACTCCCCTCCAGATTTTTGCCATATCCAAGAAGAGAGTTCAAAATTCTATCAGTCTGCTTTTAATTCATGCTAGCCTCTGACTAGCTAATACTATCAGTTAAACCAATGTGTTTTAACTGACAGTCTAACGATTGATCTTTTTCCTAACATGCACTGAAATAGACGAACAATGACTAAAAATGTAAAAAACTATATACTCATGAAAATAGTCTTTGCATACCATCGATGTCACATACATCACACCCTGGCAAACAAGGAGGTGAAACCTTCGTGGCCCAATGTGGCGGCCACTAGCCACATGTGGCTACCGAAATCTCAATTAGTTAAAATTAAATAAAATTGTAAAATACGGTCCTGCGTCACACTGGCTGCATTTCAAGTGCTCAAAAGCTGCATGTGGCTAGCAGCTACCATTCTGGGTGGGAGGTATAGGACATTTCCATCATTGCAGAAAGTCTTCCTGGGCGACACTACTCTACACTTTGAGGGCCCCAGGGGAGAGTACTAGGGAGCAGTTGCCAGGTCCTACACACACCAGCTCAGGCTCCATGTTCCCACACATCCACTGGAAATTCTGGCACACTGTTACGACAAGCTTCCCAAAACATGCAACTTTCAGGGCGGCAGACAGGGGGTCCTAAGTCCACTTGGCACAAAGGGTAGATGTCACTAGCCAAAGGCACAGGGGGATCCTCACCGAGCCACTGTCCTTGCTTTTCTCGGTGGACGTCTCCTTCTCTTTGGAGGCGCTGGCCGTTTCTGAAGGTGCTGACTGTGTGCTCGAGGAGCTCCCCTGGGACGACTTATTTAGTGTTTCTGTGTTCACCTCAGCATCCGCTTCCTGCTGAGGAGCAGTAGCTGGGGACAAAGGAGAAAGAGATGCCACATATACACAGAGTATGATGATTCTGAAACACGCATGGAGCCCCGCCCTGCACCCAGTGGCACCCAAGGCTCAGCCCCACCCAGGGCATAAAAGTGTAGGCTCAAGGGGGCCGAATTGCGAGAGTTTTCCAGAAGCTGGAATTCCAAATTTTAACATAAACATGCTGAAACTGAGTCTCGCTCTGTCACCCAGGCTGGAGTGCAGAGGCATGATCTCGGCTCACAGCAATCTCTGTCTCCCGGGTTCAAGTGATTCTCCTGTCTCAGCCTCCCAGGTAGCTAGGACTCAGGTGCACACCACCACGTCCAGCTAATTTTTGTATTTTTAGTAGAGATGGGGTTACACCATGTTGGTCAAGTTGGTCTTGAACTCCTGACCTCAGGTGATCCACCTACCTCAGCCTCCCAAAGTGCTGGGATTACAGGTTTGAGCCACTGCGCCTAGCCAACACATTGATTTTTAATGGTTAGCAATTCAAGTTTTATTAAATCATTCTGGGAACAAACAAAGCACATCAACAAGAGCCAACCGGTAACTGCCAATTTAGGGTTACTCTATTTAGTAATTTCTAGGTGGAAACCTGTATTTTTAGCCCCAGGGGCTTGCTTCCTTCTAAGGTGGGACAGGAAAACCACATGAAAGGCGACACGCTCGCTGTCAGAGGCCCAGAGCATCTGGAGATGGCAGAAACTTGGACACATAGAAAAACAGGGCATTGGGGAGGAATTTAGGAAGAACAGATGTAATTATATCACAAAAAAAGGAAAGCCGAAGGACATTTTGGCCATCTTGGCAAAACAGCAAAAGGCTTATCAGACACATTCCAGAACGTAGGGAAACCACAAAGAGACTTTACTCCAGTGAGAGACCAAAAGTCTCTACAAAGAAGATGTCTCCCTAAAGACTAAAGAACAGGGCAAGGTATGCTCCAATAATGCCTTTTAAAAAATAATAAAAAACAGACAGATTTGTCTAGAGCAAGAGCTGGCAAGCTAGTGCTGCCTGTTTTATTGGCCGACAGCCACATCCATCCATTTGCATATCATCTACGTCCATCCATTTACATATCATCTAAGACTGCTTCTGCACTGCAACAGCAGAGTTAAGTAGTAGCAATAGAAACCACATGGTGTACAAAGCCTAAAATATTCACTCTCGCCCTTCACAGAAAAGGTTTACTAACCCCTGGTCAAGCTCACCCTTGAGTCATTTACGTACCATCTTGCAAATTTTGCCAATCTGTAGACATTCTACCTTATTGTATTATTTATGTGACACTTGAAATTCTTTAAAATGGAAGTGTTTAATTCCAACCATACAAAGCTAGTATCATTTGCCACAAATTAAAGCTAATTGTAAAAAAATCACCTATAGGCTGGGAATGGTGGCTCATGCCTATAATCCCAATACTTTGGGAGGTAAAGGCTGGCAGATCACTTGAGGTCAGGAGTTCAAGACCCAGCCCGGCCAACATGGCGAAATCCCGTCTCTACTAAAAATACAAAAATTAGCTGGGCATGGTGACGTGTGCCTGTAATACCAGCCACTCGGGAGGCAGAGGCAGAAGAACTACTTGAACCCAAGAGGCGGGGTTGCAGGCAGCCGAGATCACACCACTGCATTCCAGCTTGGGGGACAAGAGCAAAGCTCTGTCTCAAAATAATAATAATAATTCATAAAATACTATTGATGCCGGGCACAGTGGCTCACGCCTGTAATCCCAACACTTTGGGACACCGAGGTGGGCCGATCACCTGAGGTCAGGAGTTCAAGACCAGCCTGACCAACATGGAGAAACCCCGTCTCTACTAAAAATACAAAAAATTAGCCGGGCGTGGTGGCTTATTCCTATAATCCCAGCTACTCAGGAGGCTGAGGCAGGAGAATCAGTTGAACCCAGGAGGCGGAGGTTGCAGTGAGCCAATATCACGCCACTGCACTCTAGCCTGGGCAACAAGAGTGAAACTCGGTCTCCAAAAAAAAAAAAAAAAAAAAAAAAAAAAAAAAAAAAAAAAAAAAAAAGAATTGATAAATTCTAACTAGATAGTGCTTCCTGATGGAAGTTGTAGGCCTGGGGACTGCTTGTTCTATGTTGGAAAGGGTAATTACAAATATTACAGCAGTGTCAAAGATAGGTTAGTTCCATACCAACACTTTTTACTTAACAAAGAAATTGGGAATCCATATTATCTAAAGCCACAAGTCCATTACTGCCAAAAAAAACCACAGTGTCTCAACTTCAGTACTACTGACATTTTAGGCCTGAGAAGAGATCAAGGGTTCTGCAAAAATCAAAGGTTCAAAATGTCCCTGGCTCAAGTCTTAGCTATGTGCCTGCATGCTGCTCACCTATGTGTAAGAGACACAGTTGTTTTTGAGTGAAAGTGACCAGAAACCAGGCAACCTCCCTTGTCAATTAGCCCTGAGACCCCTGAGGTCCACAGGGGAGACCAATGCCCAGCCACTGCAGCCCAGGATGGGAGGCAGTCCCACAGTGCATTACCTGACTGGGTGCAGGACTTCATGTGCTCAGGCCAGTGGGCTTGCTGGCAGGGGTAGTCACAGTAGCTGGTGTTCCAACAGCAGTAAAAGATGGCCTCCTTCTTGCAGTTGGCACACCACTGCTTCTTCTTGGTCTCATCCACCGCCTGCTGCTTCTCCAGCTCCAGCTGCTTCTTCACCTCGGCGATGAGCCGGTCCCGCTCCTGCTCCAGGCTCTGCCGCATCTCCGCCATGGTCAGCTCTGGTGGAGGAGGGGAAGGAACACTGTTCATCACCTGACCCCAGCCCGGGCTGTGGGGCTATTCCTGCCCCCAGATTCAGGCAGACGTGGGTGCAAGACCTGGCTGGGAGAAGCCCTGGCTGTGTGCCCATGGGCAATAACCTAGCCCAAGTCTTCATCTGTAAATAGGGCATTCATCATAGCGACCAGATGGTGCTGCCTTTTGAGAGTGGACATGAGGCGCCCAGCGTGGAGATAACTGCAGCCCCAGAGGATTTTCAACACCAGACTACATTCTGGGAATTCCTCAAAGTAACCCTTGAAACAACTGCCACCAAAACTCACTTTCCATCCTATTATTCATTAACATAAACTGTTTCCCCCCTATCAATCTATACCTATATAGCACCCACTACATGGAGGCACTGTTCTAAGAACTTCATAAACATTAACTCAAGTAACCCTCATCCTAATAATCCTACGGGGTAAGTATTACTATTCTGCCTCTTTCACAGATGAGGAAATTGAGGCACACAGCTAGCTGGGCCTAGAACTCAGGCATGCTTTCTTGTAGGCATCTCTTGTGGCACTGGATCCAGATGGGACTGTGGTTGAAGATTATACTAACAGGACAACTATGAACCTACTCAGCCTACCAAGATTTCTCTAATTTTACTTCAGTAAGTCCACTGGTAATTCATTTAGGAGTGACCTAAAAGAAAAATAAGTCGGGTGCGGTGGCTCATGCCTATAATCCCAGCACTTTGGGAGGGCGAGGCGGATGGATCATCTGAGGTCAAGAGTTCGAGACCAGCCTGGCCAACATGGTGAAACCCTGTCTCTGCTAAAAATACAAAAATTAGCTGGGCGCAGCGGTGAGTGTCTATAATCCCACCTACTTGGGAGGCTGAGGCAGGAGAATTGCTTGAACCCAGGAGGCGGAGGTTGCAGTGAGCTGAGATCATGCCATTGCACTCCAGCCTAGGCAACAAGAGTGAAACTCCATTGACAAGAGAGGGGAAGGGACAGAAGGGGAGGGAAGGGGAGAGGAGGGGAGGGAAATGGTTCCTCAATTCCTTCAAATACTCTTCCTGAACTTTATAAAAGAAAATTAACCCCTCATAAAGAAGTTAACTACTTGTGGCCAGACAGAACCTTTGAGTCAATCAAACTACCTTTAACTATGGGCCTGCAAACCATAGCTAAGTTTTGGCCAGCCCACAGGTAACTTTTTCAAATGTATAGTCAACACATAAAAAGAAAAGGATTTATGAAAGTAAGATTCCCTGATTTTATTATAAAAACAAGAAGTGGTGGCAGGGGCGGTGGACCACATCCATAATCCCAGCACTTTGGGAGGCCAAGGTGGGTGGATCGCTTGAGGCCAGGAGTTTGAGACCAGCCTGGCCAACATGCTAAAATCCCGTCTCTACTAAAAGTACAAAACTTAGCCAGGCATGGTGGCACACACTTGTAATTCCAGGTACTCAGGAGGCTGAGGCAGGAGAATCACTTGAACCTGGGAGGCAGAGGCTGCAGTGAGCTGAGACTACATCAGTGAGACTGTCTTTAAAAAAAAAAAAAAAAAAAAAAGGAAAACGAGAAGAAGCAACAGCACCCAAATAAGCATCCAGAAACAATGAACCAAGGGCTTCTCTCCAGGGGGCTCTGAAAGGATTCATGTCTGTGACTTCGATGCAGACCACAGGTGAGCAGGTAGGCACATCTGGGCATGGGTCCTCAACCTAAGAGTTCTGCTGCTGCCAGCAGCCCATCTGATGCTACGTGAGGATCTGAAGCAATCACTCCTACCTTTGGGGAAAAGCTTATCTATACAGAATGATGGGCCACAACATCTGTCAATCTAATCCAGGGACCAATAAAGTATCTTTCTCCACACTGAGCAGTGCATGGGATGCATCCAGATATTATTTAAGGGCCCGGCATTCAATGATGAACAGGGTGAAGAGTGCCCAGACTTGAACTGTGGCCATGTCACCTTGAATAACTTCCTCAACATGGCAGTTTCTTCCCTTGAAAACTGGGGATATATCCATAGCATGCAGAGTATGAAAAAAAGAAAAGGAAAACCAGGGATATAACAGATCCCTTTATCACAACAGTTTGTGTGACGAAATTAGTTAAGGTCACTGCAGCCTCAACTTTTCTCAGGTTCAAGTGATCCTCCTTCCTCAGCCTCCCAAGCAGCTGGGACCACAGGAGCGTACCACCAGACCCAGCTAATGGTTTAAAATTTTGTGTAGAGATGGGGTTTCGCCAGATTACCCAGGCTGGCCTTGAACTTCTGGGCTCAGGTGATCCTCCCATTTGGGCCTCCCAAAGGGCTGGAATTACGCGGTGTGAGCTGACCAATCCTCATTATTTTATTGTTGAGGCTGGTGTTCTGAACAGAGGAAAGGGGGGCTCCCACCAACACCCGCTCTTATACCTGGTTTCTCCAGGCCAGACTCTCAGGATTCTGTGGTCTCCCTACAAGTCATACAATCCTAGCCTAGTTTTAACCGCACTCACATCTGGGCTTGACTCCAGAGGTGCAAACAAGTTCACACACAAAACCCTCCTCCGTCCAGACCAACGTGTCAGGCCTTACCCAAGTTGTGTTTCATTTCGGAGAGCTCTTGCTGGTGTAGCCACTGGAGCTTCTCTATCTCGATCCTCAGTCTGCGAATCTGGAAGAGGGAGAGCGAGCATCTTCAAAAGCTGTCTCATGCAGTTCACCAGCAGGTTTCAGAAGCTCAACCATGGCTGGCTGTGAGGGGTACGGGAATCATGCTAACCTTCCCACAACTATAGTTCAGAGAGGTGAGTACTAGTGAGCGAACCCAAATTCACCAGAAACACTGGTTCAGAAAACCAAGTATAAATAGGCCATCGATTCCAAGAAATACTGGCACGAGGGAAAGCCACTTAAAGTGACAAGGACCAGACTTTCATATAAATAATATATTAAGGGTTTGATTAGGATTTTGGTCTATAAATATGAAACAAATACAAAGACAGCTGGATTTTCGCTCTTACATAACAACATTTAGGTGGTGCGAGCCACACTTATTCACCTGAAATTCCAAAGCCTGACATCTCTGAAAACCAAAGGGTATTTCTGGGCAGGGGAAGTGCGGCTTTGGGGCCAAACTCATTTTGAAGGGAAAATAAACTCGACCTGATCTGATAGGAAACTAATTAAACAGTGTTTTGGCCAGGTGCGGTGGCTCGCACCTGTAATGCTAGCACTTTGGGACGCCAAGGTAGGCAGATCACCTGAGGTCAGGAGTTCAAGGCAAGCCTGGCCAACATGGAGAAACCCCATCTCTACTAAAAAAAATACAAAACTTGGCTGGGCACGGTGGCTCAAGCCTGTAATCCCAGCACTTTGGGAGGCCGAGACGGGCGGATCACGAGGTCAGGAGATCAAGACCATCCTGGCTAACCCGGTGAAACCCCATCTCTACTAAAAAATACAAAAAACTAGCCGGGCGAGGTGGTGAGCACCTGTAGTCCCAGCTACTCGGGAGGCTGAGGCAGGAGAATGGCGTGAACCTGAGAGGCGGAGCTTGCAGTGAGCTGAGATCCGGCCACTGCACTCCAGCCTGGGCGACAGAGCGAGACTCCGTCTCCAAAAATAAAAAAAAAAAAAATTTAGCCGGGCACAGCGGCGCACGCCTGTAATCCCAGCTCTTGGGAGGCTGAGGCACGAGAATCATTTGAACCCAGGAGGCGGAGGTTGCAGTGAGCCAAGATCATGCCACTGCGCTGCAACCTGGGTGACTCTATCTCAAAAAAAAAAAAAAAAAAATTAATTTAAAAAATAATAATAAACAGTGTTTAATTATCACAGTAGTTCTCAACAGGGGCAATTTTGAGTACTCTCCCCTGTCATGGGAATGTCTGGAGTCATTTGTGGTTGTCACAATTGAGCAGGGTTGCTGGCATCTGTGTGTAGAGGCCAGGGATGCTGCTCAACATCCTACAATGCACAGGGCAGCCCCACAACAGAAAAGTACCTGGTGCAAACGTCAGTATAGCTAAGGCCGAGAAAACGTGATTTATTCACGTAGTGTGAACAATCACATTTCATTGCAGAAATGGTGTCTCTAATTGTGGGGGGTTGCATATTACCTCTCTAAAATCCAAAAAACTTCTGGCATACATCCAGACCCAAGGTTTCAGGTGAGATACTATGAACCTGTATTTTCAACCACACACCAATTCTTACGATGTATACAAACAAGAATGAAGTTGTTTCTAAAGCATTATTTTTTCCCTTCTTATTTGATGTCTGAAGCATAATCATAAAGGTCATATTTGCAAAACTATTAAGGGGATTCATTGATTTTTCTTGGGGCCTCTCTTAAATCTTTGTATTCACAATGTTTTCTGTTTAAGGAACCACAAGGTTGCCTTCCTGAAGATTTTCTCCTCTTCATCTGAGCACCAGCCTAATGCTGCCAAGTCCTAAAAGGTCAATAGCTCTGTAAAGGATTCCCACAGTTCTCCAACGTCACCTTAGATGATCCGTCCTGCCACTTGTCATTTCACCTGATAACCTGTTTGTATCTGGCCCACACTGTACCATCCACAGACAACCGGGAAGTGGCCCACTCTCCAAGCCCTGATAGGGAATTAACCTAAAGGGGAAGTTCAGGGAGGTATATTTTTATAAATGGACGCTTTATAAGTGGATAGCTTAATTTTTCTTTTTTTTCTCCTTAAGAGACAGGGTCTCATTCTGTCTCCCAGGCTGCAGTAAAATGGCACAATCACAACTTACTATAGCCTCAAACTCCTGGGCTCAGGTAATCCTCCTGCCTCAGCTTCCTACAGAACACACCACCATCTCCTGCTTGTTTTTTTTTAATTTTTGTAGAAATGGGTTTCACTATGTTGTGCAGGCTGGTCTCAAACTCCTAGCCTCAAGCAATCCTCAGGATTCCCAAAGTGCTGGGATTACCACAACTTCCCAAAGCGCTGGGATTACAGCCACCACACCCAGCCAATGAAATGTCTTAACCACTTTCTTCTCTACGCAATTACATAATTATGGAGACTCCAGTACACAAAGTATTGAACAACAAGAAGCACTTATATTAAAAAGTCCAAACTTACAGAGAAGATTTAGGAGCCAGTTTTACATGAAGCAAAAAGAACTGGTGTCCAGTTTTACCAGCAGGTTAACTGAAGCTCTGGTTTTGGCTGTTTTATTGGAAATGAATTGATCACACAAAGCAGGGCATGTCTCCACAGCCCCAGCTGACTGGCTAAAGGAAAAAATACCCTCATCAACAATCACAATCAGTAAAGCCAGCTTAGTGACCAAGTCAGGATCCAAGAGGGGTTTCCAGAGAAGCTTCTTCATGGTATCACCTTTAAAGCAGCCCATAAAACACTCTTAGCAAATAAGGAATTCATGTGTCACCTCTGACCTCAGCTATTGTGCTTCCAGTAGTGTTTTTAGAAAGATCGTTGTATATTTCTGTCATTGTTCCTTTTATTGCATCCATCATCTGAAAGATAAAAACAGAAACAATTCAGCTGATCACTTCTTGGAGGCTTTTCCTGGAGACAAATACCTAAAATCTATCTGTATAAAGCAGAGGTTCTCAACTCAGAGCAATTTTGTCCCACATGAGACACTGGGCATTTCTGGTTGTCATGACAGGTGCAGGAGCGAGGAGAAGGGGCTGCTACTGGCATCTGGAGGGTGGAGGCAGGGACGCTGCTAAACTTCCTACCTAAACCATGCTAAATGCACACAAGGACCCCGCACAAAAAACAACAATCTTTGAGTCCAAAATCACCAGCACTGAGGTTAAGAAACCCCAGTATTAACAGGGTAAAAATTTCCAACAAATTTCATGTATTGCATTGTGGTGCCACTTCATAACCATAAAGCTAGTTTCCATACCCACATAAAGCTAGTTTCTATACCACAGTTTGGCTGAAACTGGAGAGGCCAAATTTGGCCCCCAGATGTGTGGTGCTTTTTTTTTCGTTTGTTTTTGGATTTTTTGTTTTTAAGGTGAAGTCTCATACTGTCGCCCAGGCTGGAGTGCAAGGGCATACTTTTGGCTCACTGCTACCTCCGCCTCCTGGTTCAAGCGATTCTCCTGCCTCAGCCTCCCAAGTAGCTGGGATTACAGGCGCACACCACCACACCCAGCGAATTTTTTTTTTTTTATTTTTAGTAGAGACGGGGTTTCACCATTTGGTCAGGCTGGTCTTGAACTCCTGACCCTCAAGTAATTCACCCACCTCGCCTCCCAAAGTGCTGAAGCCACTGTGCCCAACCCCCAGATGTCTTTTATTTGGCCAGCACGGTAGGTTCAAGAGAGGGCTTACTGTTTTAGTTTTCATTATTTCCCCTTAAAAAACCAGTACCATTTTACTGAGGTATATGCATATACTACACCATTCATTCATTTAAAGTATACAATTCAATGGCTTTTAGTACCTCAGAGTTGTGTATCTATCACCACAATCATTTCACAACATTTTCATTATCCCGTAAAGAAAATCCCACTCCAGGCCGGGCGCGGTGGCTCAAGCCTGTAATCCCAGCACTTTGGGAGGCCGAGACGGGCAGATCACCAGGTCAGGAGATAGAGACCATCCTGGCTAACACGGTGAAACCCCATCTCTACTAAAAAATACAAAAAACTAGCCGGGCGAGGTGGCGGGTGCCTGCAGTTCCAGCTACTCGGGAGGCTGAGGCAGGAGAATGGCGTAAACCCGGGAGGCGGAGCTTGCAGTGAGCTGAGATCCGGCCACTGCACTCCAGCCTGGGCGACAGAGCGAGACTCCGTCTCAAAAACAAAAAAAAAGAAAGAAAATCCCATTCCCCCCGGCCTTAGTCTTCACTTCCCGGTATCCCATCCCCCCTCCCCCAGCCACTGACAACCACTGATCTGCCTTCTGTCTCTCCACATTTGCTCAGTCTGCACATTTCATATAAATGGAATCACACAACTCAAGGTCCTCTGTGATTCATGCATCCGTGCTGCAGCAGGCAGCGGAACTTCATTCCTTTTTATAGTCCATTTTACAGATATGGCTGGTTTGTCATTTTAATGCCTTCAGTCAAGACATTGTCTTTGCAGTTCATTTCCCATATTCTTTTTCTTTAACTATCTGACCCTTGAAGGCATCAGCCAGTTGGTGACATCAGCTAAGGTCCATGCAGCAGGCACCCAGGGATTTTCTGACTATGTTCGTAGGATGAATTTCTCTTCTACCTCCCACCTGCCAGCTGACCCTTCCCCCATCACAGCAGAAAGAGGAGGGGACAAGAGATCAGGCTCTGTCTCAGGCCTGGCTTGACTGGTACGAAGTCTCTCCAGCGCTTTCTAGATTCCGCAATTCAGGGAGAAGACAGGACAAAGAGCAGCCTCGTATCTGATGCCTCACTATCCATAACCTCTAAGCCTCGGTTTCCCCACAAAAAAACAAGAACTGCATGCCCCCCCGGTAGGGTGTGCACGAGGATTAAATGAAAAAAACCACACACAGACTGTGTCTCGTTACCTGCCATGGAGTAGGTGTTCATAAAGAAATACCCATTCATCTTATCTTTAAAGAAAAAGATATTCATACAAGTATGCAATTGCATAATTGCTGCCAAGCCCCAAAATAGTAGGCCCAAATTCGCCCCAAAATGGAGTAAAATGAATAAAATCTCTGTTGAGATTTCCACTCTCAGCTTGCTGTGGAGTCCACACCAGGCCACTGCCAGCAAAAACACTGCACTTTCCACAGCTTTGCAGCCTCCTGCACTTGACTCCTTGCTCTGTTGCACCCACCGTGTCCATTTTAAAAATTACCACTAAACGGCTTTACAAGAAAACTTTAGAAAGTGGGCGAAATTCAATACATTCCTAATGCAATGGTCACATTCCATTTCAAAGATATCATGCATTCGTGGACTGCCTTTTACTCTAAACTTCCAAATATAGCAAAGACTTCAACATCAGTAAAGAACACCACTCTGCCAAAACACACAGAATTGCATCTTCCACTCCAGGTCACCTCAGAGACAGGAAAAGTTTATCGGCTCCCAAAAAATGTCACTGTGTTCATTTTTTTTAACTTCAAAGAAAACACCTATCAAAAAAATCATTCCTGGACAGGCACAGTGGCTCATGCCTATAATCCCAGCACTTTTGGGAGGCCAAGGCAGGCGAATCACCTGAGGTCAGGAGTTCAAGATCAGCCTGGCCAACATGGTAAAACCCCGTCTCTACTAAAAATACAAAATTAGCCGGGTAAGACGCCATCTCTTAAAAAAAAATTTTTTTTTAATAATTTTTTAAAAAACAAAGGGGATGCAGAAGGTAACAGAATTAAAATGGTTGCAGGAGCTGAGAAAACAGCCTTCCTGCGAACCACTAATCAGATCCACTCAGCAGACCTTAGCTTTCCCATTCATGAGCAAACAGCTGGGACTAAATCAAGGGAAGGTGATGTAAGGACAACTGAAGGTAGAACAAGAGATCATTCAGGCAAAACCAGACACCTACTTAAATCACTAACGAAAAAATTACCCCCTTTCAATTCTCTAATAATCCTACAGAATCCTACAGATCGCTATAGCAAGAAGTCTCAGTTTGGTACTGTTAGGCCTTGAACACTTTCATGACAACCTCCCCCGTGTTTTGTTTTGTTTTGTTTTTTTTGAGACAGAGTCTCGCTCTGTTGCCCAGGCTGGAGTGAAGTGGCGCAATCTCAGCTCACTGCAACCTCCACTCCTTGGGTTCAAGCAATTCTCCTGCTTCAGCCTCCTGAGTAGCTGGGTTTACAGGTGCCTGCCACCACGCCAGGCCAATTTTTGTATTTTTTAGGAGGTGATCCAACCGCTTGGGACTTCCAAAGTGCTAGGATTCCAGGCGTGAGCCACTGCACCAGTCCTTTTTTTTTTTTTTTTTTTTTGAGACAGAGTCCCGCTCTGTCCACCCATGCTGGAGTGCAATGGTGCAATCGGAGCTCACTGCAGCTTCAAACTTCTGGGCTCAAGTAATCTTCCCATCTCAGCCTCCCAAATAGCTGAGACTACTGGCACATGCCACCATGCCCAGCTAATTTTTTTTATTTGTAAAGACATGACATGATCTCCATGTCTTGCTCAGGTTGGTCTTAAACTCCTGGCCTCAAACAATCCTCCCACTTGAGCCTTCCAAAGTGCTGTGGTTACAGCCACTGGCTCAAACAGCCACACTGAATCCTAAGAGCAGTTGCTTATAAAAGTCGTGTGGCAACAGTTTGTGGCATGAACATTTGTGATCAGCAGGCTTGTTTGAAATGCACAAAGCAGCTCAAAGCCAGGTTAAGTGCACGCTGTCTAGCGCCTGGCTGCTATCAAAGTCCAGCTTGGCCGTTCACTAGTCTGTGACCCTAGACACACTGTGTAGCATCACTGGGCTTCAGTTTTCTCATCTATAAAACTGTGGTGATAACAGTACCTACACTTCATCAATTTGTCAAGACTGAGTAAGTAACATAAAGAAATGCTTAGGACAGCATCTAGCCCACAGTAAATACTATGCAGACATATTGCTACCTTACGTGGTGGGAAGGCTGCCGATGATCCCAACCTAGTACTATTTTGTGCCCATCTGTAATCCCCTCCCTCTGACCTAGCAACTTGCTTCTAATCAATGGAATACAGCAAAGGTAATGGGGTGTCACTTCTGTGATTGGCCTAAGTAAGCCTGTGACTTCTGTCTTGCCAGCAGGCTCTCTCCATTGCTGGCTTTTGAGACAGAGTTTCGCTTTGTCGCCCAGGCAGGAGTGCAGTGGCACGATCTCGGTTCACTGCAACCTCCACCTCCCAGGTTCAAGCAAGTCTTGTGTACCAGCCTCCTGAGTAGCTGGGACCATAGGCGCACACCATCATGCCCAGCTGAGTTTTTGTATTTTAGTAGAGACGGGGTTTCACCATGTTACCCACGCTGGTCTTGTACTCCTGAGCTCATGCAATCCACCCACCTCGGCCTCCCAAAGTGCTGGGATTATAGGTGTGAGCCACCGTGCCCAGTCTCCGTTGCTGGTTTCGATGAAGCAAGTTGCCATGCTGGGGAGGCCCACATGGCAGGGAACTGAGGGTGGCCCAGACCACCAGCCCTCAAAGAATTGAATCTTGCCAGTCACCACCTAAATGACCTGGAGAGTGGATCCCAGTTGAGCCTTTGTGTGAGTCCCAAACCCTTGCAGACACCACGACTGCAACTGCAAGAAACCCTGAAGCGGAGAGCCCTGTGGAGCCGGGCACAGATTCCTGACCCACAAACACTGTAGGATAATAAAGGTGTGTGCTGTTTAAAGTTGCTAAGTTTTGTGGCAATTTGTTCTGTAGCAACAGATAACAATTACACCTACACAGAAGCAATAAAAAGAAACATGACCAATGAAAACTCATTTGGGTAAAAAAATAATTCGTATATATTTCTCTCACCATTGAGAATTTAAAAAGATTCCTCTTCCCTTAACTCAATATAATAAAGCTAATTCTTTATCAGTAAGACTATAAGAATTTTAGAAATAGGCTGGGTGTGGTGGCTCACACCTGTAATCCCAACGCTTTGGGAGGCCTAGGCAGGAAGATCAGGAGTTTGAGACCAGCCTGGGCAACAAAATGAGACCCTGTTTGCACTTTTTAAAAGAGAAAGAATTCTAGAAACAACCATCCTCAATTATTTTCATCCATTCTCTCTGAAAACTAGAACTGTTTACTCATCAGTATTAATAATCTACTCATCAGTAAAGAGTAAATTATTACCCACTTAGTAATTTACTAAATAATCTCAGTAGATTATAAATCAATAGCTATTGTTAAGTTATTGATAATAACTGAGGCCAATAAAAAGAAAGCCCAACTATGTGTCAAGCACTTACTGCATGCCAGGCACTGTTCTAGGCCTTGGCAGTGAGCAAAACAGACCAAAATCCCTGCCTTTGCGGAGCTGACATTCTCATGGTTATTATTACTAATGTGGTCTAATGACAAGGTACACAGTACATCAGTCCAGGGCACTCTCACATGACGCTGAGAACCGCAGATGGTATCTACCTGAATTCAACAATGACCACAAAAGCACTTGGCAGGCTGGGCGTGGTGGCTCACACTTGTAATCCCAGCACTTTGAGAGGCCGAGGTGGGTGGATCACCCGAGGTCAGGAGTTTGAGACCAGCCTGGCCAATACGGCGAAACCCCATCTCTACTTTAAAAATACAAAGATTAGCTAGACATGGTGGCGCATGCCTGTAGTCCCAGCTACTTGGGAGGCTGAGGCAGGAGAATCGCTTGAACCCAGGAGGCGGAGGTTGCAGTGAGACGAGATCGTGCCACTGCACTCCAGCCTGGGCAACAGAGTAAGACTCAATCTCAAAAAAAAAAAAAAAAAAAGCACTTGGCAAATTAAGAGAAAAGAAGAAGGGGCCTGTAGTGAGACAGTGACCATGAGTTTGCCCACAACAGGCAATCCTGCCCACCAGGCCACTTAATAGGGACTGTGCCCCAGAGGGCAGGAGAAGAGGGAGAGGGGGGTCCCCTCGGACCCCCTCCTCATCCATCTTGATTCCTGGAAAAATTAAAGTGTGGGCACTTCACCTTGCCAGTCTCATGTTTAAGACTCTGTCACTTCTACTCCACCTGCAAAGCTCTAAATGCAAACCAAACCCCTGGTCAGCTGTTCACTGAAGGATCAGTCATGTGTTCCAGTGCCTTAATGAGTGACTTGAATTTTCGAAGGTAATTCTGATTCTATGTCATTTGCACTTTATAAACTGACTTTAGAATCTAACTAAGCCCACTTGGATTAAGATTCAGTCCATTCCAATGTTTCTCTGTTAGACCCAAATGAAAGAATGTGGTCTTGGAGATTCTGTTTAAAAAATAAAAAGGGTCTTCCTTCCTAACCACTCCCTAAAGCCTACGAGGTTAAGACACTCACGCTTCCCCTTGCAAGGCCAAGGTTCTGGCAACCTGCCAGATGCCTGCTGTCTCTGCAGCAGCTCTCCCATCCACTCACTTTGCTAGTGTACTTGGCAATATCAGCGGCGACATCGGCTGAGGCGGTGGCGATGGGCAGGTCAGCGTTCACTGAGGACACAAGGGTGCTCGTGGACCCCGAGCTGGTGACCAGGGGCGATGACTGTGTGCTGGTCACCAGGGTGATGGTGGACGTGGACGGGCTCTGTGTGATCTCCTTCTGCTGGACAGCTAGGAAGGCAAAGCATCCTGATTATCCCACGTGGGAAGGACCCGTCCCAGCATAGAGCTGTGGTGTAGAAGCAAAGCCCCTAATATACGTCCTGAGAACTTTTCTACTTTTAAATGACAAAGATGCTCCCCTTGACCAAACTCTATCCAGGTTTCTCGACTAGGCCCTAACCTTGGCCTGGAAAGACATGAGCAGACATTGACAGTTTCTCAAGAGCTCAAGAGTGCATGCTAGGATGACCCCAACTCCCACTTAAAGCACCTGCCTGGGAAAACTCAATGCGGGCAAAAGAACTGACAATTTTCTTCCAGCCAACACCTGAAGACAGGACTTCAGCATCCCAGTCTCTATGGGAGAGTAGGGGCCCAACTTCATGAAGTGCCCGTTAGCAAATCAAGATGGGTTTCACAAAGACCAACCCCTCATCTTGCTTCTGTGATGTTTAACTTCAACAACTTGCTCCCATCCCTACTCCCTCATTCTCCCTTTAAAATGCCCAGTCACCTCTGTACAAATCAAAGCTAATTTCAGTTTATGTTAGACTCTTGCCCCATTACAGTAGTGTATTACATTTAAATCTGTCTTTACCCCTTTAACTAGGCCCTACTTTGGCGTAAGACTATCTGAAGCAATGAGCCTCTTTTTGGCAGCACTCTTTTTTGGTTTTTTTGTTTGTTTGTTTCTCTGGTTTTTTTTTTTTTTTTTTTTTGAGACAGTCTCACTGTTGCCCAGACTGGAATGCAATGGCACAATCTTAGCTCACCGTGACCTCCACCTCCAAGGTTCAAGGGATTCTCACACCTCAGCCTCCTGAGTAGCTGGGGTTACAGGCATGTGCCCAGCTAGTTTTATGTTTTCTTTTCCATTTTAGTAGAGATGGGGTTTCACCATGTTGGCCGGGCTGGTCTTGAACTCCTGGCCTCAAGTGATCTGCCTGTCTTGGCCTCCCAAAGTGCTGGGATTGCAGACATGAGCCACCGCGCCCGACCCTCTTCTTGGTAGCAATTAAACTCCCCTGGGGAAGCCTCCTGCTTACGAGATACGAAGACAGAAGACAGGAAGCAGCAATCCCAATCTCAAATATCCTAAAATTGGCTTTGCCCCACCAACTTTTTAAACAGCAAGATTACTCCAACTGTACTCTCAATTTTGCCTGGCCAATTTTTCAGGACCCATTCCCTTGCCATCTTTGAAGTGTTTCACTGGGGGCCAATTCAAGACCTGGCCACCTTTCAACCTCACGTCCTGCTGCTCACGAACCCCACTCACAGGAGCACACTCACTATGCGCTTCCATTGAAGAACCCAGCCTTTGACGATCTAGATGCAGGTTTCCTGATAGAAAGAGATCTACATCAATGCTCACAAAAGCCAGACAAACTGGTATCAACCAGTCAGATCAGCACTGTGTTTGGCCTAATTTCAGCTCCAGATGGAGCCTCCTATAGGGCTGGTGGGAGTTCTGATTCTGCAACTTCAGCAAGTGGTTCTCAAGGCTGGCTCATCTTTTGTGTGTGACGAATTTCCAGTTACTAAGGTAACCTTCACTATCAACTTCTCACACTGTACTTTTTCCAAAATAATTCCAAGAGGTTCCCTCATGTGCACAAGGAAATTTATACAAAGATATTCATTGCAGCACTGCTCACAGTAGAAAAAAAACTGAAAGCAACCTAAATGCCCATCAGGAGGGGAATGCTTTAAATAAACTATGGAATACTATGCAGCAGTCCGAAAGAACAAGGCAGGGCTGTATGTGCTGACATGGATGGACCTCCAAAACATGCTAATGAGTGGGGAAAAAAAAAAAAAGCAAGTATGGTACCATTTTTATGTTTTAAAAAAGAAAAAAAAGGGGAAAAAAGGACTAATCTTATGGCATCATATACATGATGCACACATATATACATACAGATATGTATATATACATATACATGCATACATGCATAGAAAAGCTTTTACAACGGTTGATACTAGTCACTGTGGAAGGGAGAGAATGAAATGGAAGGTAAACGGGACAATAAACTTTTATGTAAAACTTTCTGCCCCCCCTTTTAGGGAGAATATATGCATGTATAATTTATAAAATGAACAAAAAAACTTTTTGAAAGTAAAAAAGCAAGTAGCAAAACAATTTTTAAAAATAATGCCAAATGAAATGTGCAAGGCCTTCAAGATACAATGGCCAGGAAACAAACGAGAACTGAAAAAAAAAAAAAAAAAAAAAAAAAACAAAAAAAAGAGCAATGACTTTCTCCTGTCGATGTGGCAAAATGGGAGCGGGCGCCACGGAGAACAGAAGGGGAGGCTCGGTACCTTTCACAGCCTGTCTGGTCTGATATCTCGTCCCCTGGGAAGACTGAGGCTGCTGCTGCTGGTTTTGCTGCTGCTGCTGCTGCTGCTGACGCTGCATCTTCTGCATGTGCCACTTTTGGGAGGACGTTTGAAACTTACTTGATGAGTTCCACACGACCCGCTGCACGGCCGGGGCAGTCTCCTTCGGTAAAAGCGGCCTCTGCTTTTTCACCGGGCTTCCTGTGGCGGCGGGGGCCGGGGCCGTGACGGTGACCGTGGAGGACGTGCTGGTGGTAGCTGTGGCGCCAGCCGCGGGAGTTTGGGCGGAAGAGCGGGTGAGCACCGGCGTTTCCGGGGGAGACTGGCTGCCCGCCGTCGTGGATGGTGGAGCTTTACCTACAACTAGCCAATGCATGAAGAAAACACAAACAAAAACCGGGATTTCACTCAGGTTCGCCTGCAGGGTCTTGACGCCAGCAACTTCTGGGTAAAACCTACGAAAGCCAGGAAAGCCGAACCAATTCGACGTGCCAGGCACACCGCGCTGGAGGAGTACATTCTCACCTAACGCTGAGGCCACTTCTGCTGCGTCTTCCATCTCCACGAGCACCGGCCTCCTTTACTGAGTGCCGGCTCACATCTGAGATACAAGTCAACACCTCTGGGGGCCAATGAGGCAAACAAGACCCGGCTCCTATGCTCAAGCTCCCCTACACCTAGTGGACAACGCAGTGGGCGAACAGATTCGATCAATGTTCACGCCCTTTTCGCAAAGTTAAAATCTAGTTGGCACCTTGAGAGAGGCCCAGCGGAAGTGAATCGAGAGATGAAGAGAAATTCTTTGGCTAGAGAAGGTAGAAAGCAATACTCCAAAGAACCAGATGGCCTCCCAATGGTCAAAGAAGTAAGTAACACTCAATCACCCAGAAAGAAAAGCATTCTTTTTATCTCTTCTGATTCCCTCCAGGGCAAAGTCTGAAGGCTGTACTGATAGCCATGACAATACCAGGAACATAAATTCTGCCCCAAGGCCAGAACCTTCCCCCAAGGTAATGGTACTGATCTAGGATTGAGTAGCATTGCTTTGGTTTTGATTGGATTTATTCCTGTCACCAGCTTTTATGTATACTGTGCGCTACTGTACTTACTGGGTGGTGTTCAAGTCTAAAATGAGTTTTATACTTGCAGATGGTTTTCTCAGGGGGAATTTTTTTAATAAAAAAATAAATTGAGGCCAAGCATGGTGGCTCACGCCTGTAATCCCAGCACTTCGGGAGGCTGAGGCGGGTGGATCACCTGAGGTCAGGATTTTGAGACCAGCCTGACCAACATGGCAAAATCCCGTCTCTACTAAAAATACAAAAAAACTTAGCCAGACGTGGTAGTGCACTTGGGAAACTGAGGCAGAAGAACTGCTTGAACCCGGGAGGCGGAAGTTGCAGTGAGCCGAGATTGCGCCACTGCACTCCAGCCTGTGAGGCAGAGTGAATGAAACTCCTTCTCAAAAAACATCACTAATAGGCCGGGCACAGTGGCTCATGCCTGTAATACCAACACTTTGGGAGGCTAAGGTGGGTGGATCACGAGGTCAGGAGTTTGAGACCAGCCTGGCCAACATAGTGAAACCCCGTCTCTACTGAAAATACAAAAATTAGTCAGGTATGATGGCACATGCCTGTAATCCCAGCTACTCGGGAGGCTGAGGCAGAAGAATTGCTTGAACCCGGGACGCGGAGGTTGCAGGGAGCCAAGACCATGCCATTGCACTCCAGGCTGGGTGACAAGATGAGACTCTGTCTCAAAATAATAATAAATGAAAAATAAATAAAGAGTTTATTTTATTTATTGAGATGGAATCTCACTCTGTTGCCCAGGCTGAAGTGCAGTGGCACTATCTTGGCTCACTGCAACCTTCGCCCTCTGAGTTCAAGCGATTCTCCTGCCTCAGCCTCCTGAGTACCTGGGATACAGGCACCTGCCGCTGCGCCCAGCTAATTTTTTTTATTTTTAGTAGAGACGGGGTTTCACCATCTTGGCCAGGCTGGTCTTGAACTCCTGACCTCATGACCACCCACTTCGGCCTCCCAAAGTGCTGGAATTACAGGCGTGAGCCACCACGCCCGGCCTATTTTATTTTATTTTTTAAAGAGAGAGAGTTTTGCTATATCACCCAGGCTGGGCTCAAGTGAGCCACTTCAGCCTCCCGAGTAGCTGGGACTATATGGGACGTGCTACCATGTCCCGTTTTAAATGTGCTTAATTATATGTTTAAAGAATGAGATTCTTGGCCTGGTGCAGTGGCTCACACCTGTAATCCCAGCACTTTGGGAGGCCGAAGCGGGCAGATCACGAGGTCAGGAGTTTGAGACCAGCCTGGCCAACATGGTGATACCCCATCTCTGTTAAAGATACAAAAAATTAGCCGGGTGTGGTGGTGTGTGCCTATAATCCCAGCTACTCGGGAGGCTGAGGCAGGAGAATCGCTTGAACCCGGGAGGCAGAGGTTGCAGTGAGCCAAAACCGCCCCACTGCACTCCAGCCTCGGTGACAGGGCGAGACTCCATCTCAAAAAAAAAAAAAAAAAAAAAAAAACACAGATTCTTTAAATAAAAATATTAAGTCAAAAATTATACAAGCAGGACTTGAGAACGGGAAAGACAATGAATGTGAATGACTCAAGTTTGAAAAATACTGCCATATGGAGTATGTCATCTTGGAAGAGCTGGGCTGGTAAGGAATAAAGGGTAGGATTTCAACAGGCAGAAAGTGAGAATCTAGAGGGAACAGCATCAGCCAAGATATGTGCAGGAACAGAAAGCATTTGGGTAAGTGAGGGCAGGCAAGGAGGAGGGGCTGGAAGGCAGGGTAGAGCCAGAAGCACTGAGCAGCAGGTAGAGGGGATGACCACATGGGTGCTTATTTGTAAAGGTGGCTCAGTTATGGATGCACAGGCCTCAGCCCCCAGTTAGGTGAGCCTGTGCCCCAGAGAGGATATCTGGGGAACACACACCACAACCAGGTACAAGCTAGCACCCCTGATCTTGGACTATGCTCCCTGACATCAAACTCCTTTAAATAAGGATTATGTCTGTCTTTTTTATTTATTTTATTTTATTTTTTTTTTGAGACGGAGTCTCGCTCTGTTGCCCAGGCTGGAGTGCAGTGGTGCGATCTCGGCTCACTGCAAGCTCTGCCTCCCAGGTGCACACCACTCTCCTGCCTCAGCCTCCAAAGTAGCTAGGACTACAGGTGCCAGCCACCACACCCAGCTAATTTTTTGTATTCTCAGTAGAGGCAGGGTTTCACTGTGTTAGCCAGGATGGTCTTGATCTCCTGACCTCGTGATCCGCCTGCCTCAGCCTCCTGAAGTGCTGGGATTACAGGCGTGAGTCACCGTGCCTGGCCTATGTCTGTCTTTTTAAGATCAGTATTACCCAGAAAAAGACACGAGCTTAATTACTCCAAGGATTTTTCATTCAGTAAGCTGTGGGTTTTAAGAAGCCAAGGAGGAGAAGAGACAAGCTGACTATTCTGACTTCAGGGGGAGTTCTCGATGGTTATCACTTGTTGCTGGCCCTCCTACTTCCCCAGAGAGGAGAATCCAGCCAAGCTGGTCGGCAAGAGCCCAGGGTGGGTCCAGAAGGAGGGCTTCCTGCAGTGAAGAACTCCGGTGCTTCTGGGGCCACCTGCCAGATATGGGGCACTGTCCCCGCCTCTTCCAGGTGCAGATGAGGTGTTGAACTGGGCCCTTCTAAGAGGAGGGCACGGGGGCAGTGCCTTAGCAGAGCTTCTAACCTGCATAAGTGCCTTCAATGCCTTTCTTTCCTGCCACATCACCAAAAAATATACTGTTATTGTTGATTAGCTAGCCTGTCTCCCCATCGTAAGGGCAACCTCAAAATAGTCATTTTCTCTCTCCTGATTTGTTCTCCTGAAACAGCCAGCAGGGCAGAGGGGTTACTGCTCTGCAGTGATCACAGCTGGCTCTCTGCCAAATAAAGAACTGGAGTATACAATCTGATAAGATTCCAGGCTCAAAATTGTATGGAGTTATTTAGATACCAAAATATCTAAATTTCTAGGAATCCTGATGGTTTATGGAGACAAAATGAGGCTATAGGAAATTTCATTTGTCCCAGAAATTTGGAGTACATAATCAATCACCTGTAGCGAAAAAAAGAGGGCGAATTTTTTTAAAGGGTCAGCACCTGAGAAGCTGCCCTATCAGATTAACCTACTTATTCCTAAATCTGTCACTGGTCACTGTTTTTCATTTATAAAGCAAGGACTTTTTAAGAGAAAAATTAGTATCCCCTTTGTAGAAGGATGGAAATTACTAATGTGCCAGTGAAAGCACAGCAGAGTCTTTCAGTGCACTCTCTTTGCTTCTGTTCTGAGGTTACTAGCTATAAAAGCTGTTTTGCCATCTGAAGATTCATATTCTACCCATAAGCTGCATCCCTGGTGGAAGGTGAGCTGGAGGTCACAACAGCGCAATCCAAAATGCCCTTCACTTACTAAACTCTTAAGTGAAAACACATCATTGAAAAGATGCTCTCTAGCAGAGCCCCACATGAAAATTTTTCAAGACCCAAACCACCATCAGCTCTGAATTTAAGATCAATTGGTTTTGCCCCAAGCCTTAGGAAGCTGCTCTAACTGAACTGTGTTTTAGAATCATCTTCAGCTTAATTGTCCACTGTCTACTAAAGCTTCCTGGAGAAATTCCCTTCAGACATCAGTGTGAGGAAGAGCTCTACTTCTTTTAATCAACTAGAATGGTTTTTTATTTTTCAGAAAGTACGAGATCTTCTAAGGTACTGTGTTTCCCATTCTGCTTTCAGAGCCAACTTCCCTAACTCTGAAGGTTGAAATAGTACAGATTTCTGTATAAAACCTTTCCCCAGACCACTTGCTATTCTACTTTCACTTTCCTTTTACATGGATGTCTTTATTTTCATCTTGTTTCATATGGTTATGTATCCTTGTCAATCTGTTGCAAATTCTTTCTGGAAGAGGTAGGACGTATAAAACCAATCAATCAAAAGATCAGTTCCAGAAAGAAAGATCAGTATAAATATGTCATTCGTAGGAGCACTGCCATCTGCACCCAAATATTCCTACAATCCTCATGAAATAAATACTACTCCTATTCCTATTGTTCTCTGCAACAACAGAGACAGTCTCTCAAACCCCAATCCACAACATACTCATATTTTTCAGAGGTCATCTATAAATCTAACAGATGGGACAGGATGGTTTGATGGCCTATCCTCCCTCCCTTATGTAACTGCATCTCTCTCTTCCTCCACTGCATCTCTCACAGACAATCTCTTTAGCTGAAATGCAGGAATCCTCTCTCACTCTGACAGTTGAGTTTCCAGAATTGACCATGGATGGTCAATTCCAGGTTGACCATAACCACAGCAGAAAGATTCTCAAGGCCCATCCCTGACTTGCTTTAAGCCACCAGACTACGGAAATCCCAAAGGACATGGAGTTACATCTTATTCAAGGGTTTGATTGATAAGTTAGCTCCTGATAGAAGTCAGGCACAGTCAAGATTTAAACCTGGCTATCCCTTAAGTTACTCGCCATGTACATAAGGTTTTATGGCTACAACCTGTAATCTGTCCTTGGGCAATGTTTCTTCTAGGCCCTCAGTCAATTCTTCAATGTCTTTACTGAGCATGTTGAATCCTCTAACCTACCTGCCAAGCCAACCGAAAAATGTGCTGAATACTTTGTCAGTGGGAAGGACATCCTTCCGATCATTCACACACCCCTTCTGAGGGCTTGTTAACATGCCCAGGCTGCACTACGCTGTGGGGTAGTCACTGCTGGTTCAGAATATAACAGCAGCCTCTGAGACTCAGGGGATATTTGACAATAATTGCCACATTTGTGACTGCCAAAATTGGGCAGGTAAGGCTGCCATCTGGCTGGTAGAGGCCAGGGATACTGGAAAATATCCTCCAATACACAGGACTAAGAATTATCCAGGGCAAACTGTCAGAGTGCAAGGTTGTGAAACTCTGGACTCAGTTAAGGTAGATGCAGTAAGATTAAAAGATTAACAGCCAATACGGCCAGACGCAGTAGCTCATGCCTGTAATCCCAGCACTTTGGGAGGCCGAGCTGGGTGGCTCACCTGAGGTCAGGAGTTCGAGAACAGCCTGGCCAACATGGTGAAACCCTGTTTCTACTAAAAATACAAAAATTAGCCAGGCGTGGTGGCGGGAGGCTACTCCCAGCTACTTGGGAGGCTGAGGCAGGAGAATCACTTGAACCCAGGAGACAGAGGTTGCAGTGAGCTGAGATTGGGCCACTGCACTCCAGCCTAGGTGACAAGAGCCAAACTCTGTCTGTCCCCCCAAAAAAGCCAATACACATATCTACCATACTTCATTTTCTAGTGCCCTAAAAAGCACTCAGTATTCTGGCACTCCACCCAAATAGTGTCCTACTATTGTAAGAAAATATACTTGGAGATGCCTAGGTGGCATGAGGGGAGGAAAGATATGCTGCAATCATCAAAACCTTTGAAATGAACACTCTTTTTTTTTTTTGGAGAGGGAGTCTTGCTCTGTCACTCAGACTGGAGTGCAGTGGCGCAGTCTCGGCTCACTGCAACCTCTGCCTCCTGGGTTCAAGTGATTCTCCTGCCTCAGCCTCATCAGTAGCTGGGATTACAGGCACCTGCCACCACGCCTGGCTAATTTTTGTATTTTAGTAGAGATGGGGTTTCACTATGTAGGTCAAGCTGGTTTTGAACTCCTGACCTCAAATGATCCACCCACCTTGGCCTCCCAAAGTACTGGGATTATGGGCGTGACCCACCATGCCCAGTTTGAAATGAACACTTCTAACCATTTAAGACTTGTCAAAAGAGAACGAGATGTCTGTGGAATGGAGCAATGAAGGACCATTTGACAAGATCCAAATGTTACCAAACACTTTGGGGAAATAAATGAGCATATTGGAGAAGAAGCTGCTCAGACTAAAAATGACTTGGTCACTAAAAGTAACCACCATTTTCTAAGAGACTTCTCTTTCTGTACTCAAAATCAATCATATTGGATACCGAGCAGGTTAAAGGTAGGTAGGCCCGTGTTTGAGTCCAGGTCCTGTTCTGTGACTAGCTAGGTAACCTTAAACCAAACACAGCTTCACTGTGCCTCTCTCTCAGTGTGTTAGCGGGTCACATAACTTTTGGTTTGTTTAAGGGTCATATAACTTTTGATAGTAAATGTACGAGGTAGGATTCTAAACCAAATTAAGAAAACTGGAAATGGATACAATCACTTACCATCCTGTTTGGGAGACGGTTCTTTGGGTTCCTTCTTATTTTTTCGACCCTCCCGCCCAGAATGGTCTTCTCCTAAATCTATGACAAGTTCGCTCTCTGAATCGGAGTCCAGGCCCAAATGGACTGTTGGGGAATCCGTCTCATCTTTTCCCTTCAGTTTATCCTTTGTGGGGTGAGGTGAAGGCTTTGCCTTTTCAGAAAAGTCCTTCTCAGGCTCAGGGCTGGCCTTGTCCTTGACTGCTCCAGGGTCTGTCTTCTCGCTGGCTGGTGATGTGCTTTTCAGCTCCTCTTTAATCTCCACTGGGTTTGTAGGCTTGGGCTTTTTTTTAACAGCAGATGGCTCTTTGTCCATCCGACAACCCTCTTTGTCCTCTGTGTCTTCTGGCTCGTTCTTGGACTTCTGCTCATCATCACTGATATACTCACTATCGCTACTATCTGACTTCTCAGAATCCTCCGAATCGCTGTGCTCTACGGCCGTATAAACATCTTCCGAGATTTCATTTATGCCTAAATTCAAAAAGAAAACCCAGCATGTGGCGTAGTCACAAAATAAGGAGCAGGACGAAAAATGCAAACACTTTCCACAGCAAATGCTGGAATAAGAAAAGCACATTTCAAATCACATCACACTGGCCTGAATGGGGCCAGTAATAAACCCAAGTGGCAACTGGCTATGGCTGCACTTGCCTTTGGAGAGGGTTTTGGTTGTTAACATTCAAAGGAGACACAGGACCTACCAACAGAAATTTTAAATTTATATGGCGCTAAATATGTGGTGCCAAATTTTTGCAACGTTGATAACTAATTGGGATTACTGAGAATGAGAAGGCTGGAAGGGAACAGCAGGGATAAGCTGTTCAAACTGATCCAGTTTACAGATTAGAAAACAGAGGCCCAGGGATATCACCTGCCCTAGGACACAAGACAGAGGCCAGGCCAGTACCCTGCGTTCCTGGCTCCCCACCAACACTCTTCCCTTGGGTTTCCAAAGCGTTAAAGTTCTTGATCCTTTGTGTCTAGGCCAAAGAAAATAAGCCAAAGCCTTAAAGCAGAGGTTGCAAACAGCCCACAAGCCACATCTAGCTTGCAGACATGTTTCATGGGAGAGGCACTGGTTTGCTCCACAGGGTATCTTGTCTGCTTTTAATTTATAAATGTGTTGTCCAATTCACAAATCCGGAAATTTCACATAGAAATCAAAGCAGGGGCTTCTGATGAAAGAGCGGAAAATCTAGCTGCTCTGGGTCACCAGCCTGCCAGGCATTGGCTGGGACAGGAAAGCCAATCGCTCCACTAGGCAGGAGACACACTTGTCTCCAGGTGACCCGGGTGCCCGGCCCTCTCTCTTGTTCCCTGCACTCATGTGGAAAGTCAACTGCCACTCTCTTGTGCACTGCTCTTCCACTGGTAAAGGAGTCAGGAGAAAAGTCACACACTTCTGTTTCTTTCAAAAGGGAGAAGCACAAACTAGCAGGTATTTCACAAACAAAATGGGCAAAAGCACATTTCTAACAATAGTTCCATTTAACCCATTTACGGCTTCTGCTCCCAACCATATGTTATGCCATCATACTGTAGGAGATAATACTATATCCTAAACTTTTGGAAAGAGGAAAGAAAACCCAATCAAGTCTGTGCAATCTCTTCATTCTAGAGCAATGGCCACTGTGAATGGTGCCACTGTCCGACCCAGACACACCAAAAAGAAACCTGCAGAAGTATCAGAGCCATGAACAGCCCAGGGCATGGGGGATCAGCAGGATCACTGGGGAATATATCTGCCTCCACCAGGGTTCAATCAAAAACACAAGTCCAGCCAGGCACAATGGTGCGCACCTGTGGTCCCACATACTCAGGAGGCTGAGGCAGAAGAACTGCTTGAACCCAAGAGTTCAAGGCTAGCCAGGGCAACATGGGAAGAACACAAGCCAAAATACAAACACCCAGATCTGGTATAAGTCTGGGATCCTAGGCTTGCGCTACTGGTAGCCAATGATTGGAAATAAGAATGAAAAGTGTAACCACATATGTGATAGGAAAAGCTTGGGTACTGGAGTCCAAAGGATATGAATTCAAATCCTGCTCTTCTGTTTTTATTACTGGTTGACCCTGAACAAGTTATTTATCTCTCTGAGCCTCAGTTTCTGTATCTGCAAAATGGGATAAAGTATCAACCTCCTAAGACGATCTATATGCAGTGCTTAGCATAGTGTCAAAGGAAACACTCAGTAAATAGAAATAATACAATTCTTATTAGCAATAAAAATAAATCAAGAGCTGGACCAGCTGCATGGAAGGACCCAAGAGGATAATTTAAATGGCATGCCAAATTTCACCCATGCCACCCAATGTCCTCACCAAACAGGCAACCCAATGGGAAGTGGTGTCCTCTGGACAGCCCCAGATGGTCCCTAACTCTAGCTGCTTTCTCACCTGAAGATGCTCAGAGAAACTTGCTCTCCAGGGGCCCAGCCATCCCTAACTTCTTTACAAATGCCCTCCTAGCTTTACTTACTTATTCAACAAACATTCCAGAGCATCTACCATGTGCACAGACCAAGTACCATAGAGAAGGCAAATCCTCATAAAACAGCCTCCCTGCCCTCAAGGAGCTTCCAGTCTAGATTGGGAGGGACACCTCCACACAAAGGGAACACTGCTACTTCTGAGCAATAAAGTACCAAAGGAGGAGGGCAGATGGGGAGGGCAGTCAGGGAAGACTTCCTGGAGGAGGTGAGATCTGAGCTCAGCCTCACAGAAGGCAGGATTCAGGTAGGCAGTATGAAGGCAGGCAGCACAGGGAAGAGGAAGGAAGGCAACAGCTACAGAAGCACGGTTTGCCAGGTAGGGAGGAGACCAGTCTGGAGGGAAAGGGTTTCATGTCGGACACCTGCAGAACACACTCGCTACTCGTGTGGAGACACTGATGTGTACTGAGAAGGAGAGCAGAGGCAAACTCAGAAGATCCTCATTCTGCTCGTAAACCTTGATGCTTCAAACCTGTATCTCGAGTTTCCAGGCTGCTTTCACCAAAGAATAAATTGATGAGTTCAAAGAGCCCCGAATTAACTATCAAGTCTGAAGTCTTTTGCCATGAGTGGAAATATATTTTAGCTGAGCAAATCGTTCAAAGTTAAAGCACCTGCTAAAAGCAGCCAGGATTCAACCTTGATTTCATCAGGGTAGTATCCCTACCAGTAATGATAACAATGATAACTGCTGGGAAAAAAAACAAAACCAAAGATATACCTAATTGTGCTTTGCAACTCTCTATGGTCTTGTCAAGATTCAGCTGGAACCTGCTACGAATCTGGCGCTTGGGAGAGATGAGAGGAACAGGGGTGGACTGTTGCTGGACCGACTCGCTCAGCTCCTTCAAATCCATTTCGGCTTTGCTTCGATCTGAAAGAGACCATCACACCCTTGTAAGACCAGGCACACACCATGCTCATCACGGAGCTTTGTCCTTGCAAAGTCAGAGCAAAACACACATTTTAGAACACGGGGAGGGGGGATACTTTTTCTGTCATTCGTCCCAACAATATCATCTGCTCAACCACATGGGGTGACATGAAGATAATGGCCCGCGTGAACATGTTTGGCAGGTTTAAACAGTCCACTGAACAATCGTCTGGGTGACTTTCAATATTTAAAATGGACAATCCCAGCCAGATGGCTCAGTGTGTGGAAGTCAACACCAGTAGGGACCCTCCAAAGACAAAGGTTACGGGCAGATATTCAATCTCAATTTCAGTGAACAAAGCAACACCGAGCCTGGTCAGGGTGCACTTGTAACTTCAGGTCCAGATTGAAGAGGACTTGTATCCAAGAAAGATGGCGACCCCCTCAAAAACACCCTGACAATTGGGGGCCCTAGATGCCTATTTGCCACGGAGGCTTCAGTTTTCATTCTCAGTGGACCTAGTCTGGGGTGGAAACTAGAAAGAGTGGGGAATATAAGATAGGCAGACCTTCCAGCCAGTGTGCTGTGGCTCACAGCATCTACGTGAGGAAAGGGGAACAGATTAGCCCTGGATACTCAACCTTTCTCTAACAGGTCTCGCTCTAAGGTCCTCAGCCTAGTCACAGGCAGAGGTCTCTGGGGGGTGACTCAGGCCGGAGGTCCTGTCCCCTCACTTCTGTGAGGGCTCTTTGTAGGACCAGCAGGACAGATTCCAAAGAGTCAGAGAGCTTACATTTCCTTGGATTCCTTTCCCACCTACTCCAGCGCCCCCTATTAAGAGTTTTAGTGGCTGCAAAGGTCCCAAAAGCAACAAGCGACTCTGCAGGTGGGGCCTACTGTCCTCCACTGTGCCTGCTACCCTCTGGCATCCCCTCCAACCCAACCAAAGCAAAGTATGGGGCATCTGTCCTACCCCAGCCAATCCCAGAAAATAAGTCAGAAAGCAGGTGGCATCCAATCAACCCACAAAGAGGAGAAGCCACCTGAGCCTGTTCCCAACAGCCATCAGCTTGCTCCCCGGACTTCGCGCTTCATCTCCCTGCTCCCTCCACACCTCAGGCCACTTCTGGTCACTGGGCTATGAATGAGGCCCCGGAATCTAGTGTGAGAGCTGGGCTGGAAGTGCTGTTTAAAGCCATCACTCTCTCCTACCTTTTTCCTTTGGTCTGACCCAACCACTTTCCTGTTCACGCAGTAAGGGGAGTTCTCAAACACTGCATACCCAGAAATTAGCTCCTTCAAAGTGACCAGAAGCAGCCTCCCAAAAGCCCCACCCAATCCACTCACAGGTGACCAGAAGCAATAAATTGCTCCAACTTAATTTTATCAGCCCCTAGGATAAGATTAGAAAGGGGTCTTTTCTCAGCCAGTTGTGGTGGAATGTACCTGTAGTCCCAGCTACTCAGGAGGCCGAGGCGGGAGAATGGCTTGAGTCAGGAGTTAGTGGCTACACTGAGCTATGATCACGCCACTGCACTCTAGACTGGGCAACAGAGCAAGACTTATATTTTATTTTAAAGGAGGGAAAAGATTGATCTTTTCCCAAATCACACTTATAGACTGCCCCTCCCAGACCCAGGGAGATTCCAGAAGGTGAGTGCTCAAAGCAAGCAGAGACACTATCCCTGTAATTCAAGAAAAATACAAAAAACAGTCTCTGTGTGTGCATGCATGTGTGTGTGCACGTGTGTGCATATGTATGTACATGTGCACTGATCATGGCTATAAAGAGAGGCTACTAGAGACAGGACTGCAGACATTCACACAGCCACCTCTGAGAGGGAGAAGAACGTGCAACTTTACTGCAGTGGGGCTGGGCACAGTGATTCACACCTCTCCCAGCACTTTGGGAGGCAGAGGCAGGAGGACTGCTTGAGGCCAGGAGTTCGAGACCAAGCTGGGCAACATAGCAAGACCCCATGTCTACAAAAAGTACAAAAAGTAGCTGGGCTTGGTGGTGCATGCCTGTAATCCTAGCTACTTGGGAGGCCAAGGTAGGAGGATTGCTTGAGCCCAGGAGTTTGAGGCTGCAGTGAGCCATGACTGCATCACTGCATTCCAGACTGGGTGACAGCAAGATCCTGTCTCCAAAAAAAAAATTTACTGGAGAAAGAACTAGAAAACTCTTTATACCTGTCTCTGGCAAGAGATCTGAAGTAGCTTAACAAAGAGAAATTATGGAGTAAAATAATTTTAAAAAAGAACAAGGAATGAGGAACATTAAAAGAAAAAGGAGGAGCACCTCTGCCCAGTCGCCCCACCATCTAGGAAGCGAGGAGCGCGTCTCTGCCCGGCCGCTGCACCATCTGGGAAGTGAGGAGCGCCTCTGCCCGGGCCCCGCAACGTCTGGGAAGTGAGGAGTGCCTCTGTCTGGCCGCTGTGCAACCCTCCAGGTGTGAAGTGGCAGCCTTGTGTGTGATCTTTCTGCCCTCCCCAAGTCTGCATTTTCGACATTAAAGTTTACTTTTAAATTAAAAGTTTATTTAAAGAAAAACAAAAAAAGAAAAGAAAAATGCCAGGTATGGGGGCTCACGCCTGTAATCCAGCACTGTGGGAGGCCAAGGTGGAAGGATCACTTGAGGTCAGGAGTTCAACACCAGCCTGGCTAACATGATGAAATCCTGTCTCTACTAAAAATTTAAAAATTAGTCAGGCATGGTGGTGGGTGCCTGTAATCCCAGGTACTCAGGAGGCTGAGGCAGGAGAATACTTGAACCCAGGAGGGGAAGGTTGCAGTGAGCCGAGATTGCACCACTGTACTCCAGCCTAGGCGACAGAGCAAGACTCTGGCTCAAAAAAAAAAAAAAAAGAGAAAGCCCAGATTAAAGAGTTCCAGTAGGCAGGATTCAAGGACTTAACAGCTGACTTGCATGCAAATGTGAAAGCAAAGCAGGAGGGATTTGAGGCCTCCCTCAGAATTTCCACTTTCAGAAATGAAGCAGCGTGCTAGATTCCAAAGGGAAAAGCCAGCCTTTTCAAGAATAAAGATGGAAATGTATCTCACAAAAATACTTTCCATGGCTACCCAAGTGACACGTTCATCAGTGTCCTCAATATTCCTATATACTACTAGATTACACAGTTACTGAAAAAATTTACAAAAGAGACCAACAAACTTTCTCTGTAAAAGCCTGGAGAGGGCCGGGAACAGTGGCTCACACTTATAATCCCTGCAATTGAGAGGCTGAGGTGGGCAGTTCCCTTGAGCTCACATTTGAGACCAGCCTGAGCAACATGGTGAAACCCTGTCTCTACTAAAAATATGAAAATTAGCCAGGCATGGTGGCACAAGCCTGTAATTCCAGCTACCCAGGACGCTAAGGTGGGAGGATAGCTTGAGCCCAAGAGGCAGAGGTTGCAGTGAGCCGAGATCACGCCACTGCACTCCAGACTGGGCAAAAGAGCCAGACCTTATCTCAAAAAAAATAAAATAAAAGCCCAGAGAGTAAATATTTCAGGCTTTGCAGGCCATACAGGCTCTGTTGCAAAAGCAGCCATGAACACTACATAAACAGATGGGTGTGGATGTGTTCCAGTAAAACTTTATTTGCAAACACAGGTGGGGGCCAGATTTGGCCTGAAAGCCGTTAAATCTGCCATCTTCTATACTAGTCCAGTGACTGCCAACCCTGGCTGCACACCAAAATTGCCTGTGAAGTTTTAGAAATTCCTGAGGCCTGAGCCCCATCCTCAGAGACTCTGACTCAACAGGCTGGGGGGAAGGCCCTGGGCATCATGATGCCTTTGACAACCTTGCCAGGAGGTCGGGCGCAGTGGCTCATGCCTGTAACCCCAGCACTTTAGGAGGCCAAAGAGGGTGGATCACCTGAGGTCAGGAGTTCAAGACCAACCTGGCCAACATGGTGAAACTCCGTCTCTACTAAATATACAAAAATTAGCCAGGCGTGATGGCACATGCCTGTAATCCCAGCTACTTGGGAGGCTGAGGCAGGAGAATCACTTGAACCCAGGAGAAGGAGGCTGCAGTGAGCCGAGATCACACCATTACACTCCAGCCTAGGCAATAGAGTGAGACTCCATCTCAAAAAAAAAAAAACACCAACAATAAACTTGCCAGGTGATCCTAACTGGCAGCTAAGGCTGAGAAACCCTGTATCAGACCAATCTTCTATGTGAGTACAGAAAACTCACTATTTGCCTTAACTCCTCTGTGTCTGTGTTAACAGGACCACCTTTCTAAACCTTAGGGTCCATAAAGAGACCTAAGACTTCACCTGAATAACTGAGCTCTGTGTGTGTGTGCACCTGCATGTCTACACGTATGCCTACAGTAAATGTGACCCATTAACTCTAGCCTAAAAAGATTGAGCACTGGAATGTTCATAATCAAGAAAAATGCAAAAAAGGTATATTACCTCATTTTACAAACTAAGGTTTCTCTGGTCAATAAGCTGCTGTTATATTTATTCTTGTTAGAATAAACCACCAAAAGGCCGGGCGGCCCAGGCCCTGGAAGCTGACCTTCAGGAGTTTAGCCAAATGTAATGATCTTTCTCCAAACCTGCAGCTGCATTTGACGCTCCTCTCCTCCGCAGAGAGAAAAGAAGAGCTTCACTTTCTCATTTAGCTCATGTAGCTTATCGGGACTTCTTCCACCCCTGCCCTTCTATATCGGGAATATCTTCAGAATCCACCCTTGCTGCCAACATTTTGAACTTTTCAGCTGATATGAAGACAGCTTAGGCTATAAATGGAAACCAGGGATGAAAAATACTCACGCTAGAGAAAAAGGCACGATCTTATATTTCTGGAGGGAACATAAATCAGAACCACCTCTTTAGAGGGCAGTTGGGCGATACCTCTCAAAATGTCGCCGCATGTGGCCTCTGATGCTCAATTCCACTTCTAGGAATTTATCCTATGGATTACCCTCCCACGTGGGCAAAAGGGTTCTTCATTGCAGTTGTCTTCAATAGCA